CTACTCAAAATGACCTTTGACTAATCTGCTGTTAAAATTTGTTCTTTGTCAATGTCAGCTTTCATTTGCTGCTGTCATTATGTGCCTGCCACAGCACCCCATGCCAACGAATTTGAATCTGCTTCTTCTGATCTGTTGAATAGAAAAATGGATTTTGAAGCTTGTTTAGAAATACATCTAACTTAAGAGTTTTCAGCGAGGGTCTGAAGGGGTCTTCTGATGCATGAGCTGAAGTGTGCGTTACTTATTAATAATACTAACTTTTGTTTTTTGAGATCTTACTATAAACCAAACCTTCTGTGAAGCACTTTTTTTTTTTTTTAATTTTGTAGTTACAGATGGACACATTACCTTTATTTTATTTATTTATCTTTATGTGGTACTGAGGATCGAACTCAGTGCCTCACACATGCAAGATGAGCACTCTACCACTGAGCCACAACCCCAGCCCGGGAAGAACTTTTAATACATTATTTTGTTCATTCTTTAGAGTGTTCCTATGTAAGACAGATATTGTACCAGTTTTGAGAAATTGCAACTCAAATAAAGCGACTTACCTAAGGTCATATATATATAGCAGGTGGTAGAAATGAAATTCATATTCAGCTCCATTAGACTACTTCATTGTACTCTTCAGAGATGTGGGCATACATGTTCTTGTTTGGTTCTATATAGTCGTTTTGCACATATTTGGAAATGTCTTCTAGTTCATTTCTTAGTTTTGTAGATTATATATCTTGTGAAATAAAAACATAAGTAGTTGTGGAGATTGTTTTCTGCTACTTCATGTTTTGAGATAGGGTAAAGTCTGTAACTTAAATATGTACACCAATCAGACAGGTTTACTTCTTTCTCAGTCATGTGGACTCAGTACTTAGATTTCAGAGTCCATTCAGCAATTCAGGTCACCCTATTATGAGGGCATAGGGAGAAGCCCTGAAGTCATTGTAAGAATATTTACTAATACCCATTTAAATATCCCAGGCTCTATTTCTTCCACTGGTTTTGTTGCTCTCTTGCTGATTGTTGTATTTAAAACAATATGATGCAATGCAGTGTGTATCTGTGAGAACATGGAATTTTTCTTGTAAAGGACAAAGAATTTCACAAAACCCTAAAAGTGATATTAGAGAACTGGTTAAGTTACATATAAAATCATTGGTAAGTGAGGATTGGATTTAGTTAGACAAATTATCAATTAGAATAAAGAAAAATAACAGAAATAATGACAGACACCTCAAAGATGATGTGACTATCTCACAGGACTAAGGAAGGGCTTTTGGGAAAATTGATAAAGCCTTTGAATATTTATTTAAAAATTATACTCATTTTGATTTATACAGAGTTCAAATATGAAATGGGTGTATCCTGTCATAATTTCATTGGAAGGATTATACCCCCCAAACCCTAAATTTAGTTTATTCTTGCTCTCAGAATTTGCACATGGTTACATAAATAGAAAAAAATTATTTTTGTAATTTTTAGTTTAAATTTTTTAAGGTACTCAACACCATTTTCATTTAGACATTGAAATGTCAGCACCTATTTTAAGAGAATTCTCATTCAATTACTTTTTTCCTTTAGCCAATTATTCTCTGATAATGAAGACCTACTTCAATATAATCCAAATGTGAGTTTATCCAGAGTTGTTATAATCATATGTTGAAGTTTGGTGGGGACATTTAGAGAAGTTCGGTGATGCAGAAACACATAGATTTCAGTATATGTAAGGTGTCTCCTATTTTCAGGACTGTGGAGTTATAAATACTTTACAATTATTACTAGGCCATACTGAGTTTTAGTTTGAGAGGACAGGGCCATGTTTCCGAGAACTTCTCTAATATTTTACATTTCTACATCTGCTTATTTGGGGATTAAAGCTGTCCTAGGTGCTATAACTGATGATCTCATCAACATTGTTAGTAGTCTATGAATTATTCTCTTTGCCAATCATTCTCTTGTTTTTTAAAAGGTACAAAACAAGCCAACAAAAGTCAAAGTATTGAATTTTTCATTAAGGTAAACTCAACTCAAAACTGTTAACTTTTTTGCCAAGATTATATTTTTTCTGCATTTTGAAGTTAAATATCCTTTTATGTAACAGTTATTTTTTTCAACTGATTCTATAACAAAAATTTAAAAACTGATCCCCCATCTTACTTTATTTTTTATGAAAATTCAAGAGTTTGGGAACCTAGTCATCTAGGAGAGATCCCTTCAACTATTCTCTAATCATCTTGCTGTCTTCCTTAAAACCCTTCAAGTGACCAGGCACTGTGACATATGCCTATAATCCCCATAATCTCAGCTACTCAGGAACCTGAGGCAAGAATATCATAAATTCAAGGCCAGCCTGGACGGCTTTGTGAGGCCCTGTCTCAAATCAGAGCTAGGAATGTAGCTTATTGGTAGACACCTGGGCTCAGTCTCCAGTACTGCAAAGCAAACAAATAAAAAAACCATCAGGGGGAACACTGTGAGCCACAGCAATATAATCTCACTGAGGTGTTTTTTTGTTTTTGTTTTGCAATACTGGGGATTTAGTCGTGGGTTGCTCTACCACTGAGCTACATCCTGGTCCTTTTTATTTTTATTTTATTTTTTTGAAAATTTGAGACAAAGTCTCATTAAGTTCCCTGGATTGGTCTTGAATTTGTGATCCTTCTGCCTTAGGCCTCCCAAGTTGCTAGAATTAGCAATGCACACTGAAGTTGTTAATACATATATTAATATTTTTGTAGACTGAATAAAATATTTGGTAGTATATTTATACATATTTCAAGTGTATGAAGATACTCATTAAGGTTGACTTACTTTCCAGTAGCCTTTTGTATTTTTTAAGATTTTTATTTGTTTGTTTTGTGGTGCTAGAGCTCAAACCCAGGACCTTGCAAATGTTAAAGACAAATGCTCTGCCACTGTACTGTAATCCCCAGCCCTAAAATATTTTGGAGTGTATTTTTTTTCATCCATAAAATTCCATCAAGTATGAAAGCCATTGAACTAGTTGTACTTTGCAAAGCCTCATTAGTAAAGGTAAATCTACATGAGAAAAAATAGATTTAATGATAAAAGAATTAAAATTTTGATGTAGTAAGAAAACATAGACTACGTTAAAAGATAGGAATGTATGTGGAAAATGTATGAAATATATTGTATTTTTAAATCTCAGATATATTATCTTTACTATAAAGAGATTTTTACGGGCTGGGGTTGTGGCTCAGTGGTAGAGTGCTCGCCTAGCATGCACATGCATGAGGCACTGGGTTCGATCCTTAGCACCACCACATAAATGTAAAATAAAGATATTGTGTCCACTTAAAAAAAAAAAGAGAGAGAGAGAGAGAGATTTTACAACTCAATAATAAAGATAATACTGCAGGGTAGGTATGTAGCTCAGTGGTAGAGCACTTGCCTAGCATGCTGGAGGCCCTGGGTTCAGTCCCTGTACCCTGTCCCACCCCCCCAAAAAAAAGTGATTTTGTTGATAAAAGCTAAAAGAGACAAAAACTGAGAAAAAAAATAATTTTGTTGATAAATCTTTAATGAGATGGTGAAATATTTGAGATGTTGGTTTTAAAATACAGAAATTAAGCTGAACATCAATAACTGGTTATTTTTGGTGATATATTTTTTCCCATTTAAAAATATTTTCAAGAAAAACTTATAATTAAAAAAATTGTTTATTGGGGATTGTTATGGAATAAATCCATGATATGTCCCCTACCTGTCTCTATTTTCCCGCAAGTAGCATTCCTTGCCTCTTTGCTTATCTCTTGGCTACTTGGAGTTCCTGCTTATCTTTTGTTGGTACCAGTGAGACCACCATGAAGTCTTTCCTAGTAATCCTCTTTCCTTTTTTTATTCCACATAATTATTTTATGTAATTATGTATTTATAATGTCTTCACTAGGTAGTGAACACTTCTTATTTATTTAATAAATATTTGTTGATGCCTATGTGCCTGGCACTGTTTGTTGGGTACTACAATTCTAAGCATGAACTAGGCAGCCTTCAAGGAGTTTATAGCTTTGTAAAGTTATTTCTTTCACTGTAGTTTGAGGTATTATGATACAATTGTAGAATGATTTGGGAACTAAGAGAATTGGTAGATCTACCCCATATTGACAGAAAGGGAAGGCTTCCTGGAAGGGATGATAGCTAAATATTAAAAAGAAAGCAAGAGTTAGCCATATCAAGGGGCAGGGGGAAGATGGGCCTGGAATTTTAAAACCAGGATAAGTTTTGAGGTCACAATGGTGTTTGTGGATATTGAAATTAATTTCTGACAATAATTTGTATGGTTTTATCTTGGAAGGATCTCTAGATTTTATTTCTTTTGCAAGAGATTAAGAAAGTTGTGTATAACACTATATATTAGAGAGATCATCCTAATGTTAAATTAAACCAGTTTAAGTGTGAATGTTAACTTTCCTGTCTTTTAAGTAAATGTATAAAAATATACTCTTGCTAAGGATTGAGAAATTAGTGCAAAATAAAAAGTCTAAATTATAAGAGTGTTTCAAATAAGTCTGTCCTGTAATCTTAACTGGTCCTAATAAAATGTTGCTAAATGAGATTCCTTGGGGAATGCCTTTGAATTAATAAATTAAAATGATGGCAATTTGAAAAGCACTTTTAATGTAAATATTCTAGATTTAAAGGGATGTTACTTATAGCAGAGTAAATATTTCTCATTATTAAGTTCTTTCCTTCTATTCTGTCTACCTATGCCTACTTCCAGTTCCAAAAAACATCAGTAATTTAAAGGAAATGGATCAAATTACATTGTGGCTCTTATTAAATCTTAGTGGCCTGGCCCTGTGATTATGTAAATTATACTTACAGTTAATTGTATATCAGAATCACTAGATTTGTACAATGAGTTTATAGTCATTTGTTTTTCCTCTTTCTTGATTAGGTAATATAGAGATCGTTTCTCAACAAATTTTCCTCAAGAAGAGATTAAATAAACCAGTTTTTCTTTTCTGCTTTTGTAGATTTCTTGATAACCGGCTGTTCGCTACCTGCTCTGATGACACTACAATAGCATTATGGGATCTGAGAAAATTGAACACCAAAGTATGCACTTTACATGGTCACACTAGCTGGGTGAAGAACATCGAATACGATACTAATACAAGACTCTTAGTAACATCAGGATTTGATGGAAATGTCATTATTTGGGACACTAACAGGTTTGTAACAGGAGACCATATTAGGATTATGAATAAAAACATTTTTTTTTTTTAATTGTGAGCAGGACTGGGGATATGGCTCAGTGGTAGAGCACTTGCCTGGCATGTGTGAGGCCTGAATACCACAATCCCCAGTACCACAAAAATAAACAGATAAAATGGTGAACAAATTCAGTATTCTACTGAAGCCTCAAGAAAAAAAACTGGCTTTAGAAAAAACAAAAAGTGATTCCATTTTTTGTTACTTAATCATATTACAACTAAAAACTTTAGAGTTCAGGGTATGATTCAGTGATAGCATCCTTGCCTAGTGCACATGAGGCCCTGGGTTTGATGCCCAACACTGCAAAAATCAAAAAGTAAATAAGCAAAAATTTTGTATGATAAAGAGACCAAGGCATATAGCTAATGATTGAAAACTGCTGTATAAAATGAATTTCCTGAGATTAAGGAAAAATGTTTTTATTATTTCCTTTGTGAAACTAAAATATTTCTTACTCTTTGTTCCTTCAGTTCTAAATCTATTTATTTTGTAATTTTTGCAATTTTTTTTTCATACATTAAAAGAGTATTCTCAAGTGAGTGACACTGATCCTGAAAGTAATGTTTGGAAACACAGTATGGGGCAGTTTGGGTTATCATTGTTGGGGAAAAGGGAGGATTTCTATGGCATTTGTTGGTAGGACCATAGTTTCTATGGTCTATTTTTCACTTTGGACCAATTGACCCACCTAAAATGCAAGTTATACCTCCATTGAGAAACATTTGAATAAAATGTTTGCTAATAGAGAATTTGATTATTTGAAAATTGAAGTTTGAGAAATAATTAAAATATACCTATTGCAAACTGGTGAAATGATAATATAGTAACACATCAGGATTATTTTCAAATATGCTCTTCAGAGATCATATGTAAAAAGGGGATAATATTAAAGATTTCTAGATGTACATTTTGAGTAGAGGATACAGCTATTGATCATCTTTAGACAAACATAAACATATATGTTAGAATTTAGAGGCAAATGTGTATTTTTTAATCTAGAAAGAAAATTTGAACAGAAATAAAAACGACAATTTCCAAATCTATAGAAGGATAAAAAACTAATAAGACAGTAGAAATAGAGAAGGGGAGAAAAAAAGAATCATTTAAAAAATAAACAGGTGCCAGGCATAGTGGTGCATGCCTATAATCCCAGCATCTCAGGACGTTAAGTCTGGAGGATCACAAGTTTCAGGCTAGATTCTGCAACCTAGTAAGACCTTCAGCAACTGAGTGAGACCCTGTCTCAAAATAAAAAACACTGAGGATGTAGCTTTACCTCAGTGGTAAAGCATCCTTAGTTTAATTCCCAGTCACCCCCCGCCCCCGCCAAAAAAAAAAAAAAAGGTAAGTAAGGTAGCACAGAAATATGGTAGGCACATAACCTACAAATCAATCTAGACATCAGTAATGATAAATATATATGAACTAAACTAGCCAGTTAAAAAATAGTGTTAAATTGGATTTAAAAGTAAAACTAGCCAGGCATAGTAGCTCACACCTGTGATCCCAGCTACTTGGAAGACTGAGGTGGGAGGAGCCAGCCTGGGTAATTTAGTGAGATGCTTTCTCAAAATAAAAAGGGCTGGGAATATAGCTCAGTGGTAGAGCACCCCTGGGTTCAATCCCCAGTACTGAAAAGAAAAGAGAAATTCTCTCCCCATCTTTAGAGACTTATAAACTCATTTCCTAAGTAATTCAGAATGTCAGAAGGTAGACTGAAAATTGATGAACTTACTTTAAAAACGTAAAAACTAAAAGGATAAACCCAGTAAAAGTAGATGTATGTCCGGGTGCAGTGGCACATACCTGTAATCCCAGCAGCTTGGGAGGCTAAGCCAGGAGGATTAGAATTCAAAGCCAGCCTCAGCAACTCAGCAAGACCTTGTCTCTAAATAAAAATATAAAAAAGGGCTGGGATATTGCTCAGTGATTAAGCCCCCCACCCCCGTGGGTTCAGCCCCCACAGCAGGGAGTAGTGGCACATGCCTATAATACTGGCTACTCAGGAGGTTGAGGGAGTAGGATTTGCCAGTTTGAGATCAGCCTCACCAATTTAACAAGGCCCTAAGCAATTTAGTGAGACCCTTTCTCAAAAAGGTCTGTGGGTGTAGCTCATTAGTAAAGTGCCCTTGGGCTCAATCCCTGATACCAAAAAACAAGTGGATATATGGATATAACAAAAATACAAAATTAATAAGATATAGGGCTGGGGTTGTGGCTCAGCAGTAGAGCACTTGCCTAGCACGTGCGAGGCCCTGAGTTCCATCCCCAGCACCACAAAAAAATAAATAAATAAAGGTATTATGTCCAACTACAACAAAAAAATTTTAAAAATTAAGATTGAAAATGATAATATAATAAAAAGGAATTTTCTAAAGTGTTGTTTGAAATAATTGGTAATTCTCTGACAAGATTCATCAAGAGAGGGCTAGGGTTATGGCTCAATGGTAGTGCACTTGCCTGGCATGCATGAGGCACTGGGTTCGAGTCTCAGCACCACATATAAGTAAAAAATAAATAAATAAAGGTCAATCAACAAATATTTTTAAAAAAAGACTCATCAAGAGAAAATAGAAAACAAATAATAATAGCAATGAGGGCTGGAAGTGTAGCAGTGTTACTTAAGTAGCATGTGCGAAGCCTTGGGTTTGATCCCCCACACCAAAAATCATAATAGCAATGAAAAAGGAGCTTTAACAAAAATATAGAGAGTAAGATGACAAAATCAACTGTATGCAAATATATTGAAAACTTTGATGAAATAGTTTACTAAAAACATACGCCTTGGGCTGGGGTTATGGCTTGGTGGTAGAACACTTGCCTAGCATGTGTGAGGCACTGGGTTTGATCATCAGCACCACATAAAAATAAATAAAATAAGGGTATTGTGTCCATCTACAACTAAAAATATTTAAAAACAAACAAACAAACAAAAAAGACACCTTAGCAAAGCTAACCAAAGAAGAAATAAACCATTTTCCAGGACTGATGTTTAACCAATGTGTACCGATTCAGCTGAAGTAGTTGTTAAAAGATTGAACTTCTTTCTTACCATTTGTTAAATAATTGCTGCCCTGAGTCACCCTCTGGCTACCTAGGCCTCTCTTCTAAGATTACCTCCCTCAAGATCTTCCCATCATCCAGTAACTGAAATTTTTCTTGCACAGTAATACAATTCTAAGACTCTATTCCAGCATTGCCAACTATATCTATTCTGACTCTCCAGTGTTTGTGCACTACTGGTTATTTAAGTACTCTGAACATCAATTCTGTAAACATTGAAGAAAAATTTTAAATCAATTAAAACTGATCTAATAAAGAACAGCCTTATCAGTTTTATAGGTGACTCCTGTCAGATACTGAAATGATATTCTGGTTTTATTAAACTGATGAGATTCTAGAAAAAGAGAATTCTTATTCCAGAAATGAAAGGATGTTTTGTCAATATAAACTCTGTTAATATGATTAATTACATTAAGAGATAAAATGAATAAATCCATATGATTCTTTCTTTTCTTCTTCTATGTGGGATGATTGATCCATGGGGGAAAATTTGGAAAAGACTTCTCCAAATTCATATTTCTTTTCCTCTAATTCTTATGTGTCCAAAGACAGGGATCCAAAGACACACCTTTGTAGGAGGGTTAATTATTTCAATTGAGGAATAAAATTCAACATCCAGTCATGATTAAAAACAAAATAAAGGACATCATTACCAGCCTTACAGAAGAAAATTGAAAGGGTTATAAAAGAATATTATGAACCTCTTTATAATAACTTATGTAAACAAATACCTAGAGAGTCATAAATTACTGAAACAGATTCAAAGAGTAAGTGGAAAATCCTTAGACACAAGACCTATAGTAAATAAAGAGTTGGTAATTTGTAAATCTTCCCACAAAGAAAAGCCCAAGCCCAAATGGCTTCACAATGAATTTTACCAAATATTCCATTACAAACTATTTCAGAAAATAGAGGAAAGAACACTTCCCAGCTGAATTCTTTGGAGTCTAGTATTACTCTGGCATCATAAGAATGGAAAACTGCTGGCTAATATCCTGCAATAAAATTGATGCAAAGATCTGAAAACAATATTAGCAAGTCAAATCTAGCAATATACATATAAAGGATTATAAGTCACAACCAAGTGGAATTTATTTCAAGAATGCCATGTTGCTTTAATATCCAAAAATCAGTTATTGTAATATATTAGTAAAACTAAAACCCCACATAATCATCTCAATAAAGACTGAAAAGCAATTAACATAAAATTCAATACCCATTTGTGCTAAAACTAGGAATAAAAGAGAACTTCCTTAACTTGATAAAGGACATCAATGGAAAACCTACAGTTAAAATCTTAATGTTGAAAGACTGATACATTTCCCATAAGATTAGTAACAAAGGGCTGGGGATGTGGCTCAAGCGGTAGCTCGCTCACCTGGCATGCATGTGGCCCAGGTTCGATCCTCAGCACCACATACAAACAAAGATGTTGGGTCCGCCAAAAACTGAAAAATATTTAAAAAAAAAAAAAAAGATCAGTAACAAAGTTCTCGCCACTTTTATTCAATATTGTACTGGAGATACATCTTTACTCTGGATGCACCATGAAGCAAGAAGAAAAAAAGCTACCAGATTGGAAAGGAAGAAGTAAAATCAGTTTTCATATATAGAAGATTTGACTCTATTATTTATATTTTCTTTTTTGGTACTGGGGATTGAACCTAGGGTCCCTCTACCACTGAGCTACATCTCAAGGCCCTTTTTATTTTCTATTTTGAAATAGGGTCTCTTTAAGTTTTGCAGTCTGACCTTGAACTCTGATCCTCCTGCTTCAGCCTCCCAAGTCACTGGGATTATGGGTGTATACTACTATGCGTTTTTCTACATAGAAAATCTTAAGGAATTCCCCCCAAAACCTAGAAATAATAAACAAGTTCATTGAATTAACAAGATATGGCAGATTAATATGCAAAAGTCAAAGATATTTCTACTTAAAAGCAATGAATAGGGGCTGGGGATGTGGCTCAAGCAGTAGCGTGCTCGCCTGGCATGCGTGCGGCCCGGGTTCAATGCTCAGCACCACATACAAAAAAACAAAGATGTTGTGTACGCCAAAAACTGAAAAATAAATATTGAAATTCTCTCTCTCTCTCTCTCCCTCTCTCTATAAAAAAAAAAGATTTATTTAAAAATAAAAGCAATGAATAATCCAGAAATGGCTGAGGAATACAATTGCATTCACAATAGTATCAAAAAGAATACAGTAGTATTTGGGCTAGGGATGTAGCTCAATGATTGTGCACTTACCTAGCATGCACAAGACCCAGGGTTTGATCCCCAGGAGTACACACACGTACACACACAAAAGTACAAGATTTGTACACTGAATGCTATGTAACATTTCTAAAAGAAATATAAGTAGTTACTAATAATGAGACATTACATGTTCAGAGATTAGAAGACTCAATATTATGAATAACGAGTCTTGGCAAGAATGTGGAAAACTGGAACCCTCATTCCTGGAATCCACATTGCTGCTGGGAAAGTAAAATGGTACAACCATTTTATAAAGGTTAGCAGTTTTGTAAAGTGTTAAAATAATACTTACTGTATTCCACTCCTAGGTATACCTACACAAAAGAAATGAACACATATGTCTATACAGAGACCTATACATAAATATTTACAATAGCAGTATTTATCATAGCCAAAGAAAAAGGGAACCAATCTAAATATCCATCCAGTGGTTAATAGTTAAACAAAATGTATTGTGTCTATACAACAATACTATTTGGCAATAAAAATAGTATTGATATATGCTGTGTCATGGAAGAACCTCAAGAAATTATGCTAAATGAAAAGGCCAGATTAAAGACTACTTATTGTATACTTCTGTTTATATGAAATGTCCAGCTGGGTGTGGTGGTGCACGACTGTAATCCCAAGAACTCAAGCCAGCCTCAGCAATTTAGCAAGGCCCTAAACAGCTTCACAAGACCCTGTCTCAAAGTAAAAAAAAGGACTGGGGCTGTGGCTTGGTGGTTAAGTGTCCATGTAATCTGCAGTACAAACCAAAAAACGTTGCAGGCTGGAAGTAGGATGAAAATTTTAAAAATCAATGTGTTCCCATTGATTATTGGGATTATGTCAGTGCAAAATTTTTCAAGTATACAATTTTTCATAATAAAAAAATTTATATAACCAGAGATGTGAAAAATTGAGCTCCATTCTGTTGTCGTATGTAATTGATTAGAACAAATAAATTTTTAAAAATATGTTGTTATACATAGGAATAAATTACAAAAGAAGATGTGTAACCTTGATGGAGAAAATTGTAAATTTTCATTTAAGTCACTGTAATACCTAAGTAAACAAAAAAGACATTTTAAAGTCAAGGGCATAAACTTATAAAGATGGGGAAACAGGAGAGGAAATATGACAATAGAATTTTAGAAGCCGGAAAGATGGTGGAGATGAATGACTACTGACTAAGCAGCTGTTTTAAGCAACTTGATTTAGTAAGTCCAAGGAATCTGAACCCTAAGCTGGCAGAGGGGGAAAGTTAAAAACTTAAGATAATTGTCATAGAATCCTCAAAATCACAGGAACTGGCAACCCTGGGTACTTTTTAAGTAGCTAAATAAGGATTCACAGGAGAGATATTTAAGAACTTCTTCCTTTCTTAACCTATATCAGTGCAATCAACTTCCCATTTTAGCAGAAGTTTCTAATTTTACTTTATAGAGAGGGTAAAATGAAGAATCTTTATTAAAAGTTTCCAGAAACAGTTGAAGGTTCAGGTATGTTGCTGAAACCAAGGGGATTAAATGACATGTGTACTGAATATTGATTTCAGAGATCCTCGGCCTTCTCTCGGGTGATGATCTAAGGTTACATATATATATATATATACATATATATATACATATATACATATACATATATATATATATATATATATATATATATATATATATATATATATGAATGTGTGTGTATTATATAAACTATATAGTTCTAGTCAGCTTTAGTTTCCCACTCTTAAGCATGAGCAGAGCAGAAATTGAGGAAAACTTTTTTTTTTTTTTACTTCTTCACATTTTTGGAAGTTTTTTAGAACTTTTATTTTATGTATTTTATGTACAAAGAATTAGCATGTTCTCCTTCACTGGGTGGCTATCTTGGGTAATCCATTCGAGGAAGATCACTTAGTCCAACTTAATGAAGCCTATGTCCTTTGCGCTGACAGAAACACTGCCGGCACACGTTGAGGCCATATTTCCGGATCAGACCGTGCCGGTTTGAACACACGCGGCAAAAGCGAGAACCCTGGCCAAATTTTCGCGGGTGGCCCCAATAGAGCTGTTGGTGACCCATCTTGCTTTCAAGGGTGCAACGAGGACAAAAAGAAAAAAGGGCGAGGAAAACTTATAATATAGAGATACAAAAGGAAAGTTTCTTTGAATAACAATATAAGGAGAAGAAAACTTAAAATTTTAAAAAGAGCTCTCAATATTTGTATTTTTGTTTGAGACAAAAATGGGTTGCAACAGTGGAGAGAAATAGATGGAGTGTCTAAAGTATAAATGATGTACTATTAAAGTGGGTGAGGAATATTCATTTTTCTTTAAGCTCTACTTGTTTTATTTATGTTTTCTATAGGTATGTTTTTTTAGATAACAAAAATGAAATAAAACAGGAACAAAAATATACAAGGAATAAAAGTCTATCAAAGAAACCATGTGGGCAGATTTGATAACTTTAAAAACTTAATAGAACTATAGAAATGCAAGTATATATAGGGCAGGTGAAACAGCAGGTTAGGCACACCTTTAAAACAATAGATTTTTTTAGCTTAAAACAATAGATTAGGAGATACATATCTAAAAGTTACTCAAAATACAACATATGAAAATGGGGAAATATGAAACATGAAAAAGCCTTGCACAGTGGAGCACACTTGTAATCCCAACTATTTAGAAGTCTGAGGCAGGAGGATCACAAATATGAGCAAGTCTTGGCAATTTAGTGAGACTTTCAAAAAATTGGGGGGGGGTTGCTGGTGATGTAGCTCAGTGGTAGAGTGTCCCTGGTTTCAATCCCCAGTACCTGCCCCAGCCCCACCCCCCAAAAACAAACCCATGAAAGAGAAATTGTGAGACAAGGAGAGTCAAATATGAATGTTTCAAAAGTTTTTTGGAGTGCTGAAAGAATATAGAAAATGGGTGAAGGGCAATATTGAAATAATGACTGAGAACTTTCCAGAATATATGAGTAAAATAAATCTTAAGATTTAGAAAGTCAAATGAATCTCAATAAATACAAACAAAAGGAAATCCAAAGTTACACATACCAATGTGAAACTGTAGGACTCTAAAGACAGATCAACCAGACAGAAAAAGATCAATTGTTCAAAAGTAGCAGATAGACTGATAGCAAGTTTATAAATAGTAATATTGGAACCCAGAACTGTGAAACATCCTCATTATTCAGAAAGAAGTAACTGTCAACCTTAAGTTGTATGTTCAGCCAAACCTTTTTTCAATAAAGATGAAATACATATTTTCAGAACAATAAAAAAATGAATTTACCTCAACAAAGTTTTACATACAAAATTCTGAGGGATATACTTCAGAACAAAAAAGAGTGATCTAAAAAGGAAGGTTAGAGATGAGAGAAGGAATGGTGAGCAAAATAATTGTAAACATACACTATTAATTCTGTTTTGAAGGGAAAAACAATTTGACTATCACTGAATCATTAAATTTAGGATAACTCTAGGTTTTGTTGGGTTTGTTTCTTTATAGGTGTACAGAAGATGGTTGTCCACATAAGAAATTCTTTCACACTCGTTTTCTCATGCGAATGAGACTAACACCAGATTGTTCCAAAATGTTGATCTCAACATCCTCTGGATATCTCTTGATTCTCCATGATCTTGACTTAACAAAGTCTTTAGAAGTAGGCAGCTATCCCATTTTGAGAGCAAGGAGAACTACATCAAGTTCAGGTAAGCTTTTCTTTCTTTTTTTTTTTTTTTAAATTTTTTTTTAGTTATACATTGACACAATATCTTTATTTTGTTTATTTATTTTTATGTGGTGCTGAGGATCGAACCCAGGGTCTCTCATGTGCGAGGCAAGCGCTCTACCACTGAGCCACAACCTCCAGCCCCAGCTTTTCTTTTTTTAATTAAAAGTTTAGTAGGGCTGAGATTGTAGCTCAGTGGTCGAGTGCTTGCCTGGACACACGAGACCCTGGGTTCAATCCTCAGCACCACATAAAAGTAAAAATGAATAAAAAATAAAGGTATTTTGTCCATATACAACTAAAAAAATTTTTTTAAATAAAGAAAAGTTTTTTTTTTAATAAAGAATCCAGCAGAACTTTAAAAAAAATTTTTTTTTTGTTATCAATGGACTTTTATTTTATTATATGCGGTGCTGAGAATCAAACCCAGGGCCTCACACATGCTAGGCAAGTGCTCAACCACTGAACCACAATCCCACCCCCCAGCAGAACTTTTTAAGTTATGATTATAGAGTTTTAATTTTAAATTTGTATTGTATCCTAGATTTCCAAATGTCCACACATAGGTACCTGGTGCCATCTTGTTTGTAACACCCTCTTGCCAAAGCTTTGTCCTTTTTCCCATTGCTGATTCTATTAGACTTAAGTGAAGTTGGGGCTCAGAAAAACTTAAATACTATACTTCATCAATATTTTATGATAAAGAGAATATATTTCATCTGACTTGGGAAAGAGAAGAGTGGCCTGGGAGCGGAGGAAAACAGACTTAATTATTTGGAACACAAATACAAACTTTTCATGAAGTGCTATTAAAAGATAACTTTAAATGGTTGGAATCTTTCTCATATGTGCACAAGGCCACTCCTGAAGACTCTTTTGGGAAAATACAGGCATAATTGTACTATTATTGACCAATTTAACTGTTAAAAGTAGAAATTTAAGTTTACCAACTTCCTTGCAAGCAAGGTGTTTGATAAAAGTGAATGTAATCCTTTTAGATTCAGAATTGCCTTTTTTTAAAAAAGTTAAATACTAATAATTAGCTTAGTGATAGTTATCTAGAAGGTGTAGTTGGCATTTTTTGACTCAAAACCAAGCTTTTCAGTCTTCAGCCATGTGTGGTAGCATATGCCCATAATCCCAGTGGCTCAGGAGGCTGAGGCAAGAGAACTGCAAGTTCAAAGCCTCAGCAATTTAGCGAGGCTCTAAGCAACTCAGTGAGACCTGTCTCTAAAATAAAATACAAAGAAGGGCTGGGGTTGTGGCTCAATTGTTAAGTACTCCTGGGTTTAATCCATGGTACCAAAAAAAGAAGCAGCAGCTTTTCTGACTTCTAAGGGTAATTCTGGTATAAAACCATAAGAAATTCAATAAAATAAGAATTCCCTGCAGAGGTGTGGGACTACTGAAAATGTATGATGAAATTGAGTTTCTAGTAATATGCCAAACTTCATATTAATTTTATCTTTTCCACAGATTTTAATGTAAAGTTTTGCTTTGCATTTCAAAGAGGATTTACATAGATTTACATAATAGAAGTTTTTAGTATGCTTTATAGAAAGATTTATTCATGTTACCAGTAATGGGGCCTGTTGTTTGGACCCTATTCTAATGTTAAACGACTCAGTTTTCATTAAATTTTCTTATTCTGTTTTAGTACAGAAATGATACCCAAAGATATTCCAGTGCTTATTTGGTTGGGGTTGTTTTTTTGTTTATTTTATTTCACATACACAAGTTTTTGGCATAAAATGGTTTTTTTTTTTTTTAAGAGAGAATTTTTTAATATTTATTTTTTAGTTTTTGGCGGACACAACATCTTTGTTTGTATGTGGTGCTGAGGATTGAACCTGGGCCGCACGCATGCCAGGCGAGCGTGCTACCGCTTGAGCCACATCCCCAGCCCAGCATAAAATGTTTTTAAAAGGAATTTGGCCTTAAATAACGCTTTAAAGATATGTCCTGCCTTCCTTCATCTTAGTTATACCCCAGGTTTATATGAGCTTTTTTGGCCATGTTTTGGATGATTTAGAATATGGTTCAAGTAGATAATTAAAAAGTTAAGAGATACTACCAGAGTTATGCTAGATTTATTGTCAAACTCTTTGTGTTTTTAAGATTTGAGCACTTCATCGAGTTCAGCTGGTCCCAGAGTTTCCGGTTCACCTTGTCATCATAGTGATTCTAATTCATCTTCTGAGAAGCACATTTCACGAGCCTCCCAAAGAGAAGGTAGGTTAAAAGCTGGATTTTATAATCTTGCAATAACAGATTCCATCAAATAATTTTCTTTGGTTTGGTTTTAATCCATAAAAATAACTAGTGGAGATGAGACTATCTCTTGCCTCTCAGTCAACTGACCGTTTTATGCTGAAATCTGTAATGGAATTTGAACTTTGTTTTTATCACATGTACCAAACTTACTTTGTTCTAGTTTGGAGAGGAAGTAGTTGGGAAATGTAGATTCCAGTCAAGATTGTTGGAAAAATTAAATGAGAGTATACATGTGCAAGTACTATATAAACATGAGAAATGAATTTATCAGGTGATTGTGAATGTCACCTAGTCTTTTACTCTAGGTCTTTTGCCATTTCTTTTTTTTTTTTTCCTTCCTCCTCAGTACTCGGGATTGAACCCAGGAGTGCCTTACTACTGAGCTACACCCCAACCCTTTTTTCAGTTTCTTATTTTGAGATGGACTCTCCCTAAGTTGCCAAGGCTGGACTCAGTCTTTGAATCCTCCTGCCTCAACCTCCCAAAAAGCAGGAATTACAGACCTGTGATACTCCAAATGTCTTGCCATTTTCTGCCCTTTCTGTACATCGCATGACAGTTGCAAAGGGATTGTGGGATAAAATGAGCTTAATCTGGCCCTAATCTGTATCTTCCCCCCCCCCCCCCCCCCCGCCATTCTAAAAGAACTAGCTTCTCTGCCCATCCCTCCACTTCCTGATTGAAATGCTTTCTACCTGGACAAATTCCATTATAACCCCTCTCCATATTAAATCCAAATCTAAGCTCTTAGCTGTTTATCCTCCTCTTTATTGGCCAAAAATGGCCTTTTAGGTCACCTTTTGGAAATAAGTATAGCTCTCCTTTGAGAGTTAGAGCAGCATTAGAACTTTTTTTTTGGTACCAGGGATGGAACCCAGTGTGCTTAACCACTGAGTCACATCTTCAGCCCTTCTTATATTTTATTTAAAGACAAGGTCTTGCTGAGTTGTTCATGGCCTTGCTAGATTGCTGAGGATGGCTCTGAACTCATGATGCTCTTGCCTCAGCCTTTGAGCCGCTGGGATTACAGGTGTGCACCACTGTGCCTGGTCAGAACTTTTATTTTTGACATGATATCTTCTGTGGATTCTAAGGATATAGCACAAATAAAACTAAACTTATCTCTGGCTCAAGTGAAATCAGTGGTATCCTTGATCTTCCAGTCTTTCCTACCCCCTCTCCATTCAGCTCCTTCATAGTTTCCCTTTTTGTCAACTCCTGAGAAACTCCAGAAAATACAACTATCAAACCTTTGCTTACCTATTTAGAGTGCGTTTCTTTTCTGCTTTTGTTAGAGGTTTACAAAATTAATGCTTAAAATGGAGGTTTGTTTTTCTCTAAAATCGTTAAAATCCAATCACATGTGAAATTATTACTTATGTATAGTTTGGTTGTTGCAGTGTAATTTAGAGCCTTATAGGTTTCCATCAGTGGTATAGTAATTCCAAGGGAATTTTTAAAAAGAAAAGCCAGGCACAGTGGTGCATGCCTATGACCTCCCCGCACCACACATACACTTGGGAAGCTGAAGCAGGGAGGTTGCAAGTTCAAGGCCAGCCTTGGCAACTTATAAAGATCCTGTCTCAAAAATAAAAAGGGCTAGGTATAAAACTAAGTGATAAATTACTCCTGAATTCAATATCTAGTACAAAACGAGGGGGTGGGGTGGAGATAAACCATAAATAAACAGCTTTCTGAGGTATAGATCGAAATCCAAAGGACCCCTGCTCAGCTTCCATGTCTTAGCCTTAAGTCCCCAGTGATTCCTACTATTGGAACTTGGGTCCCCCTTCCCCCTAAGCCCATACTGGAGATTGAACCTAGGCTATGTCCCCAGCCCTTTTTATTTTTATTTTGAGACAGTGTCTTGCTAAGTTACTTAGGCTGGCCTCGAACTTGTAATTCTCCTGTCTCAGATATGTGCCACTGCACCCAGCTAGGGACTTGTATTCTTTCGTAATAGTAGTACTCTTTCCCCATGCCCATATCCCAAAACTCACTGTATTTTGAGGAACAATATATTTTTTTACATGTGTTAACATAAGGCATGGAAGATAACTGCCAGAAATCAGCCTTAGTCCTTGAATAATACAAATCCCAATCCTCATTTCCTTGTTTCTCAGGCGTTTCACCACGAAATAGTCTTGAAGTCTTAACCCCTGAAGTACCTGGTGAGAGAGACCGTGGAAACTGCATCACATCCTTACAGCTGCACCCCAAAGGCTGGGCCACTCTTCTTCGGTGCTCAAGCAACACTGATGATCAGGAGGTACAGTTAGCAGTGCTTTATCTTCAGTAGGTTTCATTGGACAAATTGCCATTGCTGTGTGTGCAAATCTAGGTGTATCAGACCACAGTCCACAGACTCTCCTTCTTTTTTTTTTTTTTTTGGTACCAGGGATTGAATCCAGGGACACTTTACCATTGAGCCACATCCCCAGCCTTTTTTTTTTTTTTTTTTTTTGAGACAGGGTGACACTGAGTTGCTTAGGGCCTTGCTAAGTTTCTGAGGATGGCCTTGTACTTGTGTTCCTCCTGCCTCAGCCTCCCAAGTTGCTAGGATTACAGGCACACACCACCATGACTGGCAAGAGACCCTTCTTCTTGACGATCCTCTTTCTATCCCCTGTGGTTTTATGGTATCCTTATCCCTTGCTAACCCTTCTTCCTCTCCTGCTTGGGTGTAGCAGGCTAGCAAGTACTCTAATGGCCATCATCAGCTCAGGTTGTGTCTGGCTTCTTAATTCTTGCCTCTTTCATCTTGTCAAAATAAATAAATAAAGGTAATATATAGTAAACATAGCACTGAAATGTTTTAGCTAAGCTGGATAAATGTGAGGTTTTAGCCAATTATCATAATTTTATTTATTTTTTTAAAAATCAGGAATATCTGGGCAAGGTGGAGACTAAACTGATGACTAAGGGGAAAAGGTTAAATGACCTTAGGATTCTGGATAGCAAGAGTGTTCTGGAAAGCAAGGATCTCAGTGGTTCCAGAGACCACAACTAAAAGGAGGGGAAAAGAGCTTTTGAAGTGCAGAGGAAGAGGTACTTTAGGGCTTGGATATACCCAGAATTTTTTTTTTAATATGTAATTTTAGTTGTTGATGGACCTTTATTTTATTCATTTATTTATATGTGGTGCTGAGAATCTAACCCAGTGCCTCACACATACCAGGCAAGTGCTCTACCACTGAGCCACAACCCCAGCCCGTACCCCAGAAGTTTTTTAAATATCAGGATCGTTGTTGCTGTAAGAAAAGGAAAAGTATTACTACAGAAGTCACAGGCAGCCTCAGGGAACAAAAGGTTTTAAAACCTCACAGTGCAGAATAACTTCAGGTTATGAAGAGAAGAAGGTATGGGGCCTACAAGTTTTGTTAGTTAATGGGAGATAGTATTCATCTAATTGATATCTTGCAACAATCCTGTGACTTTGGCATTCTGTTGAGCTTTTGAAAAATGAGAATTTCTGTAGCACTCTTTGGTGCTCTGTAACCATGGTTTGTCTCCCTTTTCTTTCCTTAGTGGACTTGTGTCTATGAATTCCAAGAAGGAGCTCCAGTGCGACCAGTCTCACCTCGCTGTTCCCTACGACTGACTCATTACATTGAAGAAGCCAATGTAGGCAGGGGTTATATCAAAGAACTTTGCTTCAGCCCTGATGGGCGAATGATTTCTTCCCCACATGGCTATGGGATTCGCTTGTTGGGATTTGACAAACAGTGCAGTGAACTTGTTGACTGTTTACCCAAAGAATCCAGTCCCCTGCGGGTGATCCGATCTCTGTACTCTCACAATGATGTGGTACTGACAACAAAGTTCTCTCCAACACATTGTCAGATTGCCTCAGGGTGCCTTAGTGGACGGGTCTCTTTGTATCAGCCAAAGTTTTAGGCACAACTTACATCAAATAAGGAACTCTCTGGTGTTTGACTTATTAATTACTTCAATTTAGGTGAAGTGTTTTCTTTTTAGAAGATCTTATAAGTTTGGGTCAAGATCCTGGTTCTTATGGGTCCATGAATACACCTGTGACCTGAGTACTTGATCATCCAGCATCATATGGGCATCTCCAAGTAGACTATGCAGCATCGTCCTTTTCAGCATTCCTCTGCTCCTGCTGGTCTGTGCCGCTGAACTCCAGTTCTTATGGTTATTTTGCATGGTAGTTGAGTTTCCTCCTTCCCTTCCTGCCTCCTTCTGTTCCTTCCTTCTTTCCTTCTCTCCTTCCTTCCTTTTTCTTTTTTAGTTTTGGTATGTTGGTATGAATTGTATGGACATTTGGCAGAGGAGTTTTGATTGGGATAAGAGAAACCCATGACACTAGTATTGAATAAAACTCAGAAGTTGGATGTTGACATGCCAGTTGTTGAAAAAAAATTTTTATCTTGATTTATCAATGTACTTGGCCTTTTAAATTTGCTGTTATATTTCTCTATATTGAGCACAGATAATGGCATTTTTCTCATAACTATTAGATAGTCTTGCATCAAAATGTCTTTTAAGTTTCCTGATAAAATCATACAGGAAAGTTTTTTCATGTGAGAGATTTTATGAAATTCTAGAAAAAATACTACCACCTCTCTTTGTAATTTACTTGTATGAATTTATAATCTCTCTCATGTCCCCTTATTTGGTATTTAGCTCCTATCAGCAACATCAGAGAGGAAAGGAGGAGAAGAAATGGGCTTTGGTCATTTCTGTTGTACAGAAGAGGATTTAAACTATTAGTACAGTATTTGGCCACAGAGAGATGGAACAATGTGACTTAAGACTTTCTGTGTTTTCTCTGCCAGAATGATGTATTAACAGTATTGGGGTGGACGGTGAATTAAGAGTAAAGAAATGGCATTTTATTCATCTTTCTTCCTTGAGCCAAGGGTCACAAGCTCAACTTACCATTAGCGAACAGAGAGCTGCAGTCCTCTTCCAGATGTTATCATGATCCTGGCAGTGACCTGGGTGTCATCCTTTTTTCTGTTTTGTTATAGAACACAGCAACTGAAAGCATCAGGTAGGGGCAAGCACAGGCTGATGCTCTGTTGAATAGGCAGCTTTCTTCCTGTCTCCTCTACATGGAATGTATTATATTTAGAAGGGATTTTCCAGAAGCTGGAGTAATTTAAGCCATGCACCAGCCTTGTCCTCTTTAGGCCAGTGGTTCTCAAACATTAGGGTGCATTATAACCATTGTAGAGATTGTGAAAATACAGAAACCTGTATATCACCTTAGGAGATTCTGATTTAGGCAGGGAGAGGACAGGAATCTCTATTTTTAACAAGAGCCCCAGGTAATCTTTATTCAGGTGACCTTTGAATCACAATTTTAAAAACATAGTCTTAAACAGCATTATATACTTCTATACTCATTTGGTGCTTAACATAATTCCCACAAAGTGTTTTGATTATTTAATAAGTAAATGAAAACATTTTTAGAGATATAAAACAACTTGGAATGTAATTAATTGCATTATTTGAGAAGTTAAGTCACTTGCTTAAGATCATCATGCAAAGTTTGTGACAGAACCATGACATGGGTTTAAGTTTCCTAATTCCTTGCTCAGGGCAATTTCTAAGATATGCTGGCTGTTAAATCAATGACTTATGAACACTTTGTCATTAAGTTGTATTATTGTGAATATCCTTATAGGTTGGGAAAAAAAAAGGGCTTGAGAGTAGATGCTGAGATTACAGCCATATGAAGAAAAGTACTTTAAATCTTACAGAAATGTTTAAACAACCCTAATACATGAATAAAAGTGACATTTATTGTAGGACCTGCCAAATAGTCATTCACACACATATATGTAAGAGGTTCTGTCTTACTTGGAACAATGTTAACTCTAGAACAGAATTAGATTATCTTACCACAGATGTTGAAAAAATTGGAAATTTTGTAGCCATTGGAAAAATATACATAAAAGCACAGTGAAAATGCAGGCTTGCCGTAAATTTCATAAAAAGAAAAAATTCAACAGAATGAAATTTTGGAGATAAAAACACTGAAAATTAGTATTAAAAATAAGCTATGAAGGGGGGCTGGGGCTGTAGCTCAGTGGTAGAGCACTTGCCTCACAAGTGTGAGACCCTGGGTTTGATCCTCAGCACAACATAAAATAAATAAATAAATATGTGTGTCCATCTACAACTAAAAATACTTTTTTTAAAAAAAAAGCTATGAAGTACAAATCAAATTGAATTCAAAAGAAGACTCCACAAATTTTATTAACTTTGGAAAGGATTCCATGTCAAGTGGTGCACACCTGTATTCCCAGTGGCTGGGGGTGCTGAGTCAGGAAGATTTCAAGTTCAAAGCCAGCCTCAGCAATGGTGAGGCACTAGCAACTCAGTGAGACCCTATCTCTAAATAAAAAATACAAAATGGGCTTGGGGATGTGGCTCAGTGGTTGAGTACCCCTGAGTTTAATCCCCAGTACCAAAAAAAAAGGATTCCATGTCAAATGCTGGACCCACATGCCACCCAACTCCAAATTTAGCCAATGGTTCTTGAACCACTTTAGGGAACTTATCATGTGTTAAATAATGTATCTGCTTTACTCTTAGCCCCCACAAAAACTAGGAAGATAGTTAGAATTAGCCCCAAATCTTTGGCAGCCATGATGTGATAGAAACCATAAGTGACTTGTCTGAAGTCACAGAGTTGGCAGTGGGTGGCAAAACTGGGATTCAAACCTAGGTTTGTCTTTTTATTTGATTTAATCCAAAGATAGTGCAAAATACTCTATGCTTTTGCCCTTTAGTATCTAAATGATGGTAAATTGGCCTGTTAATTTACTTTTTCAGCATCTTCTGGAAGTTTTGTTTTGTTTTTTTTTAATTACAGCATTGGCCTTATCTTACCTTGTATACTGTGTAAAAAGAACATGTACAAGATTGACTGTTTCTATGAGAATAATTCAAATACCACAGACTCAGGGCATACATAGAGTCCATTCATTACTAAAAAACCTCAAGCAGGATAAGTGTCTGTGAAATAGAAAAGAAAATGAAGAATATGGAGCATTGTGTAAAAATAGAGCCATCCAAATTAGAATTAAAAATTATCAGCAGCGGACTAAAATTGTGACTCAGTGGTAGAGCGCTTGCCTAGCATGTGTGAGACACTGGGTTTGATTCTCAGCACCACATATAAATAGATAAAGGTCCTTCAACAACTAAAAAAATATTTTAAAAAATTAACAGCAGTGGGCTGGGGATGTAACTAAGTGGTAGAGCCTTTCCTAGCATATGTGAGGCACTGGGTTCAATCCTCAGCACTACATAAAAAACAAAGGTATTGTCCATCTACAACTAAAAAAATATTAACAGCAGCAAACTCAACAAAAGAACCCTTGCTCTCCTTGAGATATGGTCATGATCAAAAAGTCATCAGAGAATTAAAGGGCATCAGGAATGCTATATTATTGAAAGAAATGACTTCTTACCATTTCCAGGCCCTGTTTCACTTTCTGTGTAAAAATCGAATCTGCTATATTTTACTCTAAATTTTAGTCAGTCATTTTTTTTCATGATAATTGATAAAAGGTATCATTATTGGTAATATAATACAATTGTTGATAAATGTGATATAGATTATTCTCCTGTTTTGAAAAGCTTTCTCCAGAACAGTGTACTTACGACACTGCTGTGTTGATGAAGTACATCAAATATGTGGTAACTCCCTACTTTCAGTTTTGAAATGAAGTGACTAAGCAGGAGGTAACCTCAGTTTTAGTCTTTAAAAAATATGTGTGGTCTTTTTTCTTAGAAGGTTAAAGCTTCTAAGAAATGAATATATATCATTCCTCCTTGTTACATCCCTGAGAAGAGCCCATACCAAAAATTTTAGGAAAGCAAGCAAGGAAGGGTAAATCACATGTTCCCTGCTCCTGGGTCTAAAACCAAGACCACCTTATATAATTTTTAAGGTGGTGTTCTCTAGAAAGTGCAATATAGGGAAAACACTCAGAATATTTTAGAAGCCTAGTGTTTCCTATATTAGAATATATTGGTACTGGCATCCACAAGTATCTGTTAAACTTTTATTTAGCAGGAAAAAAAATCTGATAACTTACTGAAGACAATCATCCCCATTTAGTGACCAGCAGTCATTGAGTACTGTGAAAATCCACTCAGTTATATACTCTGTGTCGGTCATGAAGGAAACCATACATATGAATTTTGGATAAGTAATGCATATCTCTTAAGTGCCAAAATTAAAAACTTGTAATTATTTTTGATGCAAGTCTTTCAGGTGTGTTAGTATGCCTCCCTGCCTTCTTCAGTATCATTCACTTTTTCATGATGAAAAGTTATATTCATAATGTGTTATTATAAATACCTAGAGAGCTCTGATAATATGTAAAACATTTCATAGAATATAAAGGGCTAAAACAAATATGAGTTAATATCTTTTATGAAGTGATTCCTTCAATTCTGAGATATATCATTTGCCTCAGATTGCTAACTTTTAAAAATTTTTTTTTTTATCTCCTAAGTAGTGTGTTTTGTCAACATGCCTGCCTCTAGCAGGCTCCCCACTTTCTTCTAATTGTGCAGTGTTCATCTGTTATGAGCTGGGACATGAGATAACCAAGCTGTTCAGAATGTCTACAATTAGAACTGGACAAACTCTCAGTACACAGTCTGGGACAGCTCCCTTGATTGCTTTCTGCTTATCTTCTAGATAATACAAGATCCCAGTTAAAGCTAGGCTAGTTTTTCAGTTGCAACCAAGTAAGATACTTCAAACTAAGGAAGCTGCTAGGAAAAAAAAAAAATAGCAATGTACCAAAGTACAGGAAAACAACAACAAAAGCTCTGTGTATGCACAGGGATCTTTTATGCTTTTAAGTAAAGAGGAAGAGTGCAGGAAAATAAGAAAATCCAGATGGACTTGAAACTATTTTAGATGCCATTTTAGTTGCCATTAAACTTTGTCAGTAACTATTTAAATGTGTGTTAAATTATCACATGTTGTTACAAAGACAGTTTAGGCCCATAGGATAAGATTGTACTAAAATTTATATCCTAGAGATAATTCTAAATGATATCCGAAGAATGTCTCCCAAATGATAATGGAAATTTTTATTAAAAGAAAGTCTAGGTTACCTTTATGCTGCTCTCTTTGGTTGTAAATGAATTAATGATAGACATACGGGTTTTATCAAAAACCCAAGGAGCACATCTTACATACATCTCCTGTCTGTACGTGTATATAAATGCCACTATAAATGAAAGTGTTACCCAGAGATAATAAAATAACTTATAAAATTTAAATCTGGTCCAAAGTCTTTAAAATAGCTAGAATTTTCAGCTTCCCTAAGTTTTTTAGATATCATGCTTTTTACATTAAAAAAAATGAATGTTTGAATTTTATTTTAAATTTCACTGCATCCTTCATTTCCAAAGTGTTTTCTGGAAAATTTTAGACATTTTCAGGACTCTTGGGAGTGTTTCTGATAATATACTAGACACCCAGAAAGTTTTCTTAGTCGGTTCTAAGGTGCTGTAAATTCTTATTCTAGACTGTAAGCTCCTTGAGGGCAAGACTGTCTTATTTATTCTTGTATCCCCAGTGCCTGGCATAGAACCTAACACAGAGTAGTTGTTCAATAAATATTTGTTGAATGAATCAAATGAACCTTCACCATATGTGGCCTCCAGCTCCCATGAAGCCAGAATGTGATGCGCAAGTTACTTAGTACTAGAGGAATCAAATTGTTTATTATTGTAACCAACAGACTGTCTTCATCAGGGTAAGATTTGTTCTGATCATAAGTAACCAGCTATTTCTCATTGACTTGAAAAACTACAAATTAAGAATCAGTTTTTCTTAAACAAGCATTTGAATCTCTCTTATATGCTTAGTCTTGTACTAAGGACCCAAAAGAAAGATAACTAAGATCTTGATATTCCATCGTGGCAGTTGGAATAAACTTAGAGGAAGGGCTGGCTTTATAGGTGTTGGGCCTTTGCAGTCCTATAGGGCCCCACACAGAGAAAGGCCTCATACTTGGTTAAATGCTTGCTCCAGCTGTCTTGAAAAGTTTCAAACAACAAGCCTGCATTTTATTTTGCCCTGGGCTTAACAAATTATGAATTTAGTCTTGCTTAAATGTTAACTATTTTTGACACTGTAGAAACATGAGAATTATATATAATCTTACCTGCCTTCCAGTAAATATTCACATTCATTGAAAACTAGCTATAAAATGCATGATTTAGTAAAATAACTTCTGAAATGTGAAATTTAAACCAAACTTCATCCCTCCTTCAAGGTTTTTGACAAATGTCCATCACTGTAGAATAGAAAAGCTGCTTTAAAAATCTAAGTGGCTTTTTCTTTTTTCATTGAATTATTTTGAGTCTTTCAAATGGATGGATGTAGAGTAGGTGAGTTGATTTTAACTATGTACATACCCACATAAAATTTTAAGGTTTTAATAAACCTTCATTTTTTTACGTGCACTGGATATTTTGGTATAAGTCTACCTCATGATGTGCTTTTAAAAAACGTTCCTTTGAAACATTTTACACACTTTTTGTGTGTGGTTAACCTGCTTAAAAGGTTGATAGCAAATTTGTACTTAGTAGTAATTTGATAATTTTTGCTTTAACCTCAGGGATATACATTTTTAGACCAGAATCAAGCACAAAACTGTGACAGAGGCAGTAGCTTGATGGTTCTTGTTAATGACAGTCTTAACTTTTTACCATCATGCATCAGAAAAAAAACTTTAGAATACATGCCAAGTTTTTGTTTTGTTTTGTTTTCCTTTTTTTTTTTTTTGTTTATTTAGTTTTTTTTTTTTTTAATGTGGTGCTGGGGATTGAACCCAGTGCCTCGAACGTGCTAGGCAAATGCTCTACCACTGAGTCACAACCCCAGCCCACATACCAAATTTTAATTATTTATAAATTATAGTATCTTATTTATCTATCATGTACATTGTAAAACATGAACAGAGGAAAAAGAAAATTAAGATTTTTAAAAACCAAGGTTTACATTTTTTCCTATACCTCCAGGGATAAACTCTGCTTTGGCTGGTATACACACACTTCATTTTGTATGAACCACTGTCTGAAACATGAGTTAGCATTTTACACTCATGTTCTGACCTTGGCACAGTGGCACATGCCTGAAATCCCAGCTCAGGAGGCTGAGGCAAGAGGATTGCAAGTTCAAGACCAGCCTAACAATTTAGTGAAATTCTGTCTCAAAATAAAACAGGGTAGGAGATGTAGCTCAGTGGTAGAGCACCCTTGAGTTTAATCCCCAGTACTGCAGAAAGACAACAGGTGAACTGAGATTTCATCCTTTCATGTGTTCACTAATGTTCTGGCCATTTATAAGTCTAAATGGTACAAATCATAGTTTTTACAGCTTTCAAAATTATTATTCAGTGGAAATTTTATTTGTGTCAATGGAAAGGTTAGTTGATAATTTTTACTTCTGTCAAGCTATACATTTTTTTGTATTATTCAACAATGTGGTTGACAGTTCATTTTATCATGTTGTTTTCATTCACCAGAATGATGACAGTCCTATTTGGGACATTCATTTCTTTGGTAAGTCATTAAAGACAAAAAATAGAATGAATCAACTGGACATGACTATATTGGTGTAGTCCCAGCTATTTGGAAGGTGGGGATAGGATCATTTGAACCCAGGAGGTCACAACTGAGACCCATCTCCAAAAAAAAAGAAAGAAATGAAAAATAGAAGAGAAAGTCTCTTTCAATTCAGATTATTTTGTGAAATTAGACTGATTTAATTATGATACTAATTTTTATTCAGCTATTTCTGACACATTTTGGCCTGTTTAAAAATAGGGTTTTTGGGGGGCTGGGTTGTAGCTCAGTGGTAGAGCACTTTCCTAGCTCGTGTGAGGCACTGGGTTCCATCCTCAGCACCACATAAAAATGAATAAATAAAACAAAGGTACTACATCCATCTACAAATAAAATGAAAATAGGGGTTTTGGGGGGCCTGGGGATATAGCTCAGTTAACAGTGCTTGCCTTGAATGCATAAGGCCCTGGGTTCAATCCCCAACATCACAAAAGAAAAAGAAAAAATAGGGGGCTTTGTTGTTTAGTTTTGTTTGGTACTAGGAATTGAACACAGGGGCATTTAATCACTGAGCCACATCCCATCCCTTTTTTTTTTTTTTTTTTAATTTAGAGTCAGGGTCTCACTGAGTTGCATAGTGCCTCGCTAAATTGCTGAGGTTGCTGAGGTTGCTGAGTCTGGCTTTGAACTAATGATCCTCCTGCCTCAGCCTCCCAAACTGCTGGGATTACAGGCATGTGCCACTGTGCCCCGCTTAAAGATAGGGTTTTTATTGAAGAGAAAATGATTATTTAGCATGTATTCATATTAATGAATTAATGGTATGTATTTCCTATTGCTGTAACAATTACCACAATGGTTTAAAACAATACAAACTTAAACTGGGCACATTGGTGCACACTCTATAATCCTACCTACTTGGGAGGCTGAGGCATGTTGAAAACCAGTCTGGTCAACATAATGAGACCATGTCTCAAAAAAAAAAAAGGTCCAAAATGGGTCTCTAGGCAAAATCCAGGCATCAGCAGAACTGCACTCCCTCTGGGACACTGGAGAGAATCCTTTTCCTTGCCCTTTCTAGCTTTTAGAAGCTGTCTGCATTCCTTGGCTTGTTGCCCCTTCCCCCACTTAAAAGCCAACAGTGTAGCATCTTCTGATCTCTTTTCTTTGTGTGTGTGTATGTATAGTGTAGCAGGGAGTAGTGGGGATTGAACCCAGGGGTGCTCTACCACTGAGTCACATCCCCAGCCCTTTTTTAAGTTTGAGACGGGGTCTTGATAAATCAGACTCATGAGTCACTGCATCCCAGCTTTTTATTTTTAATATATTTTTTTTAAATTTTAAGACAGGTTCTCACTAAGTTGTTGAGACTGGCCTCAAACTTGCAAACCTCTTGTCTCGGCTTCCTGACTCACTGGGATTACAGGTATGGCTCTGATTCTTGACTCTCCTGCCTCCCTATTTCACTTACAGTGAATACCTTGGGTTCACTGTATCTTTAAGGAAATCTTCCTATTTTAAGGCTGGTTGTGAGCAAACAATTCCATCTGCAACTGTAATTACCCCTTGCTCTGTAACATCACATACTCACAGGTTCTGGTTATTAAGTATGTGGATGTTGGTTGGGGGATTATTCTGCTTGCTTACTGTGTGCTGATAGGCTTAGTGTTCTGCTCCCACTTAGTTTTTCACAGCATTCCTTAATCCTTAAAGCATTCTTATGTAGTAGATACTATTATCCCCATTTTATAGAGGAAAAAAAATAAGGTTTAAAAGAGATTAATTTACCTATAATCTTCAGAGTTAGACTCATGCAAGTCTGAGTTCAGGCCCCAACTTTCAATCACTGATTTGATAACTTGTTGAGAAATTATCTACTGTATTTAGCCTGTTTTAGAACACTATGATTACTGATGGTCATGCTTGCTTGCTGTAAGAGAAACGTATTGTAGCTTTACTAAATTCTAGTATCAGCACAAAAAAGTTGGAAAGCCTCTCCCTATGTGGTCCACTAATATTTCAAGAGTTGCCATCTGAGATATAAATGCTTTTCTCCCCCAGATCTGTTCCCTGTGGGGGTGGGTTATTTTTAGTTTAAAGCTTAAAACTTTCTAAGCTTTGGGTCTCTCTCTCTCCCTCCCTCCCTCCCTCCCTCCCTCCCTCTTACAATTTTTAAAAACCTGTTCTTTTTAGATATATATGACAGTAGAGTGTATTTTGACATATTATACCTACATAAAATATAACTTAAGTTTCTCTCTTGATCTGAGTGGCATCGACTAAGAAACCCATACTCAAATAGTCGTTCTATATACTGGGATAATTGTGCAATTTCCTGGCCCTTGGTGAAATAAATACATATGTATTAAGGGAAATCACCAGTAATCAATGATTATCTTGAGAAGGGTTAGAAAAGTATGCATCATCTTATGCTGGGGGCATAGCTTGTGGTAGAGCACTTGCCTAGCACAGGTGGGCACTGGGTTTGATCCTCAGCACCACATTAAAAAAAATGAACAAAATAAAGGTTAAGTTCTTAAAAAAAAAAAAAAAGAAAAAGAAAGGAAAAGAAAACAATGCATCAACTCTGTTTTCCAGCATTTCCTGGTGAGTAGCGTGGACAGACTGCATGTTTGCATTTATATTCTAGGATATCTTAGATCTCAGAATCAGGTTCTTATTTTTTTTTTTTGCCTTTGGTACTGAGGATAGAACCCCGAGGGGCACTTACCCACTGAGCCACATCCCAACCCTTTTTTATGTTTAGTTTAGAGATAGCATCTCACTGAGTTGAAGCAACTCAGGGCCTCACAACCTTGCTGAGGTTGGCTTTAAACTGGTGGTCCTCTTGCCTCAGCCTCCTGAGCCACTGGAATGGTAGGTGTGCAACACTGAGCCCAGCTCAGAATTGGGTTCTTATTTGACTCCCTTTCCCCCATAGTAGCACTTAAGACAGTGGCCAGGCCAGGCCAGGCACATGCCTCTAATGCCAGCAACTCGGGAGGCTAAGGTGGGAGGATGATAAATTCAAGGCCAGCCTTAGCAACTTAGGCCCTAAACAGTTTAAGTGAGATCCTGGGTCAAAAAATAAAAGGGACTGGAGTCTATGTAGCTCACTGGTTAAGTATCCCTAGGTTCAATCCTTAGTACCAAAAAAGGAAAGGGAAAAAAAATAGTGGCCAGTATTGGGGTCCTGCCTTAGTTTCAATCGGAAATGTACCCAAAGACCCATGTTTTAAAGCTCACTGTATCATTCAGGAGATCTTCTGGGAGATGGTGATAACTTTAAGAGATGGGAACTAGTTGAGGGAAGTTATGTCATTGGGGGTATGCTCCTGAAGAGGATAAATTGGCTCCTAATCCTGTTTTCTGGCTGCCATGAGGTAAGTGCTTCCCTCAGTCATGTGCTCCCACCGTAAGGTGCTGCCTCACCACTGTGGACTGGACCCTCCCAAACGGTGAGCCCACATGAACTCTCCTCTCTGACTTCCTCTTTTGGTGGTGTTGGGGATTGAGCCCTGGCTGCTCTACCACTGAGCTACATTCGCAGCTCTTTTCTTTTTCTTTTTTAAATCAGGCTTTTTTCTCCCATGCCTTTTCATTTTTAAAGACAGGGTGCTGCTAAGCTGCCAAGGGTGGCCTCAAATTTAGAATCCTTTCACCTCAGCCTCGGGAGTAGCTGGGATTTCAGGATAAGGCACCATCCCAGCCACTTTTTCTCTTGTTAAATCAGTTTATCTCAGGACTTTGTTTCAGTAATGGGAAGCTAACACAGGCCCCAAACTGCTTCTCCTTGTTCTTGCACCAGGAATGAGAAGCACCTGCTGTGGGATTGCATTAATTTGCTCTGGCTTGATCCTGGTCATGGAGTACTATTCTCATTCTTTGAGGAAGATTCATGCTCTTCCCTCTCCCACCCTACCCCACCCCACCCCTTTGGGGGAAAGTCTGAGCTTTCCTTTCCTGACATCCACCAGACTTGTCCACTGAGTTGTCCTCCAGGTGCCTCCCTTCCAGCAGAGGGTGTGAGAAGTGATGCTCAATTCTAGCATGCATGAGCAGCACCTGGGGGATTTGCTCTACCACAGGAGGTTATGGCTAGGTCCATATCCATTGTGTCTGACGTCATAGGATTAAGGGGGAGCCCTGAATTTTGTCTAACCTGTTCTAGGCTGATGCTATAAGAGAAATGTATTGTAGCTTTACTAAATTCTAAAATTTAGAATTCTGAAAACCATGGATATTTAAAAAATGCAGTTACGGCTTAGATTTCTCATGAATGAAATGTGTCCTTGGAAGTCAATTAGAAAACAGCTTCCTAAGGTTGGTAGTGTGGATCGTTTGTGTCCCATTGGCTACCGCATTCCAGTACCTTGACAGGTTGGCACTTCTTCAGCTGGGGCTAAGCTATCCCCAGTTGAACATGTGATTGAAGTTACTGTGGAACAGACCTGGTGCTCTGTGGCTTCCAAGTCAAACAGAGGAAACAGCAACACACACTCCCTGAAAGGAGCTGTAGATAGCGGCCCCAGTGGCTAACAACCACAAATTCAGAAAAGGAACAACTGACACTTTAACCAGGGCATACACAATTCAAACCATTGAGGCCCTGGCCCTGGGTTCTATCCCCAGCACTGCAAACAAACAAAAAACCCCCCAATTTTTAAAAATAGTTGTTTCATGAAAGTCATTTAAGTTATGGATATGAGAGTCTGCTGTATTGGCATTACATAGTAAAGGCCCTTCTCAAGATTATTTTTTGTTGGGGTAAAATGAAGGATCCAAATCTCATTGTGAAAGGATTGCTTTTTAGAAGTTACATACAAATTATCAAACCTAACATGAATACATTGCATTTATTCTTTTTTTTTTTTTTAAAGAGAGAGAGAGAATTTTAATATTTATTTTTTTTAGTTTTCGGCAGACACAACATCTTTGTATGTGGTGCTGAGGATCGAACCGGGCCGCACGCATGCCGGCGAGCACGCTACCGCTTGAGCCACATCCCCAGCCCTGCATTTATTCTTAAGAGGGTGTTACCTGGGTTTTACTTGCATGGGTAACAAATGTATTTAATTCACAGAAGAATTTCCTGGTATTTGTTGAAAGTTTCAGTGTCTAGTCAGGTGTTAGGTAACTCTCCACCCCTAGGGCAGTTTTAAGAGAGAATGAATTAAAAGATTAGTCTGTGTTTTACCCAACAGCCCTGTCAAAATCTTGGGGACAGTCTGGGCCTAAGGGGAGACTGCTATAGCATTATCATTTCTGGGGAAGATAAGTAAGTCCCTAGGTGATCAGCCTGTGTTCCCTTTTAGCAAGTCTATTTCTGTAGTACCCTATAATTTCATGGCAGTGTGACTAGCATACTACAAGAACTGAACACCTGATACTGTATTCTGTAATAAACCCCCTAATGATTTTCTAACATTATGAAAATGTTCAAACATACAGCAATATTGAATTTTACGGGGAGCCTCCATTTACCAAGGTTCTTCATTAACCTTGACTAAGCTTGTTGTATCATTCATCTACTACTCTAGCCATCCATCAATCCATATTAATTTTTTATGTATTTTGGATAAAATACTGACATCTGTACCCATCCTTCTAAAAATCCTCAGTACATAGAAGTACACAAATATCAATTGTACCTTGGCAAAGTTTAGACCGGTGAATTCCATCTCAAGATATTAGAGTACTACCCTCCTGTCCCTTCTCAATCGGTCCTCACTGTCCATTTTTTTTTTTTCCACTTTAGATTTGCCTCTTATAGTATCATATAAACAGAATCATACATTATGTATTTCTCTTAAAAGAAATTCCTAAGGGGGGAAAAAGCACCTATGAAACAGAATAATATGATAAAGACAACATCTGGAATCAGAAAATAATTCAAGCATGGAATAGGTATTTATTATTATAAGAACCTCTTGACTATGGCTACATAGCAGAGGCCTCACAGAGATGGAGCCAGGCATGCACACTCACCACATGCCCCAGAAAGGGACTTAATCCAGTCAGGGAGTAGTGTCCATTCAAGGGAGGTTTATCTTTTGACTTCAGAATCTGTCTTAAACAGCCAAGGCTCTGTCTGTAGAATCTTATAATTCAAAATGATTTGTACTAAAAAGGCAACTTTATAGAACAGATACAAGGGAAATTTGCTAAACAAGAGACTAAAAGGTGCAAACTGAAATGATTAAAGATTCTGTTTTCCTCTAGTTTGAGTTGATATAAATTTGAATGTATTTGGTATTGTTCTCAAAACGCAATGTACTTTTTGTTCCACAAATAATAGAAGCTTTAGGAGCTCCAAATAGTAACACAAGTTTTGATCTACTTGGACTTCTCTTCACCTTAGTTTTCTCAAGACATATAAAACCTCTTTTATCTCCAAGTCTAGGATCAATGAAACCAGGGATACTTTACCACTGAGCTACATCCCCAGCCTTTATTTTGAGACAGGGTTTCACTAAATTGCCCAGGCTGACCTTGAAATTTTTTCTTTTACTCTAATTTGTTATGTATGACGGCAGAACACATTACAATTCATATTACACATATAGAGCACAATTTTTCATCTTTGGTTGTATGCAGTCACACTATTCGTGTCTTCATACATGTACTTAGGGTAATGATGTCCATCTCATTCCACCGTCTTTCCTAACCCCATGCCCTCTCCTTTCACCTCCCTCCCCTTGAGTTTTTGATCATTCTGCCTCAGCCTCCCGAGTTGCTGGGATTACAGGTGTGCACTACTGCACCTGGCTAATTTCTTTTTTACTCATTACTTTCATATTTTACACACAAATTACAAATGGAAGATACTGGGTTCCAATGTTTTTTTCCCAGTTTTCCTTACGCTGTCTTTCTCAAAACTCTTAAGCTGGGTGTGGTGGCTCAGGAGGCTGAGGCAGAAGGATCACAAGACTTGCCTCAGCAACTTCAGACCCTGTGTGAAAAAATTAAAAAGGGTCGAGGATGCAGCTCAGTGATAAAGTGCCCCTGGGTTCAATCCCCAGTACCAAAATAAATAAAAATTTAAAATACTCTATCAATCACAATTATTTAATGGAGACGCAAGGAGTGATTAATTCAAGAAAACCTAGAAGTTTTAGTCACTCATTGCCCAGAAAAGTCTAACAGTGCTAAAGAAAATTCTGAGAATTCTTCCACCAAGAGAAAGGAGAAAGCTACTTACCATAATACTATTATTAGATATGACCACCCTTGAAAGAGCAGTTAGTACTATCTGAAACAAATAGGAAGCATCTCAATGTAGCTAAAAGCATTTTTCCCCCCAAAAGTGTACTCTTTGTAAGGAACAAGTAACTGCTTTGCCCACAAGTAACTGCTTAATTACACCTAAACTGGTTTTACTTCTGGTGATGTTGAAGAGTAGAGCTAACAAGGGATTTGCCCTAAAGCAATTAAATCACTGGAGACTGGTGCAGTGGGGCAAGCTGGGAATTCCAGCTACTCAGGAGGCTGAGGGGGGAGGATTCCAAAATTGAGGCTTATTTAGGGAGGCCATGTCTGAAAAAAAGCATGTTGGGGATTATTAAGTCAGTGGGACAATGCTTGCCTAGCATGTGCAAGGCCCTGGGTCTGATCCCTAGCACTACAAAAAACAACAAAAAAGACAAAATTCTTAGTAGCAAAGCTATGTAGAAAATTAACTTGTGTGGACTTCCTCCTGACCAAACAAGATAGGATAAATGTTCATTTTACCAGCATTCCTCAGGTGAACTGCTAAAAGACAAGGCAGTGTGCTAAATGTTTTACCAATAGATCAATAAACTACCACAAAAAAGAAAGTGTTAATGGTAAGAAATTAATCACAAATCACCAAATAGGATGGGCTTAAAAAACAAACTTTATTCCAATTACCACAAAAAGTATGTTAACTTTTTATACTTTTTTTAAAAGTATGTTAACAGATTTGAATTTAACTCATAGTCACATAACTCAAAACAGCAAAGAGTTTGTGTGTTTAACTGCTTTTAATAACAAAACTTTATAAGAGGGAACAGACCCCCACACAATTTGGGAGCTATTTAGGCAAGCAAATATTAAGCAAAAGCATTAAAAGCTAAAAATCCTCAAATTTAGAGAGAATGCCATTCAAGTCTTCAATATCATTTATTTGCACATGAAAAAACAAAGATTTTAATATAAAGGAAACCGAGTCTGAGTGCTTACCCTTTGTTCGAGTACCATCTCCCGCCTTGCCTTCATTTTCGGACTCCCACACCACAGTACTTCACCTGTATTGCCCTGCTGTTGGTTGGACATGATTGGCTTCCTGGAAGCAAGCCCTCTAGGTCCCACATACACCCTATCTGCGGCTCAGTATTCCCTTAGAGGTTTGCACAGCCTTATATGAGTATTATCACTGTTGTTGAGCTTGGGAATTTCAGGCATCCAAACGTAAGTTTATATACACAAGTTTTATTGCACAGGTCACAATGTATAGCAGGTGATTATATAATCAACCATGAGTCAAGATGAACATTTGATTATTTAGACAAAAACATCAACTTTGTCCCCTACTACAAAAGAACAAGACACAAGATTTGCCACCATACAAAGGCTGTGTTTGCTCTGTGGTGCAGTCCTGAGGGCTTGTACCACTTGAAGTGTGTTAAATGCAGAATTCATAACATTTCTGGAGGCATCAAACAGGGAGCATAGGACACAAAACCTCAAGTGTCTTATACTCATGAGCTGCCTGTGCCATGTATGTAACAGAAAGGCCACTTAAAGCTCTTCAGATAGTTATTCAATCATGTTTGCCTTTTAAAAATGATTAGCACAACAGTTCACACTGAAGGTAAAAAGAGTAGTTAGAATTTCTTAAGTACACATTTTGACTTAAAGTTCAGATAAAGCTGTTGGCTACAAGTTCTGAATTGACAAATTAAAAAAAAAGTCTAGGAAAACACAAAACCATCTCTGGTAATGTGTTTGCAGTTTGGTCTTCAAGAGCTGTAAAAACGACAACTTTAAAAATGAGTTAAAACCATTAACAATGTTGTTTTTAAATGTCACATTTGAGACACAAAAAAAAACAAAGCACTTTCAATTCTCGTATCACTTTTATTTCACAAAAGTGCTTTACAACTTAAATCTCTCCCCTGTGTGGAGTGTAAAGACAAAAAGGCCCACAGAATGGAGGCCCCGCGGAGGTGTCTTCAAGGCCAGGGGCTGCTCCATGTGCGGAGCACCTCTGCTCAAACGTGACTGGGGGTCAGGAGTGCCGTCTCCATTCACTTCTGAAACTCCCTTTAAATCCTGACTCAGTAGGCCAAGGGAAGCTATTTAAAATTTATTTGGTGTCAAGTTCTTGCTTTCTGAAATCCTCACATCTGTACCTTGGTCTCTGAACTGCTGTATCTACCACAAAAATATGAAGCAGAGCTGCTGTAAAGCTATTTAATTCCATTACTGCCTTGCAAATATTTAATGTGCTCCCTAACCCTTCACAGTTGAAAGGATGGTCACCTGATTGAACCAGCCACACTGTGTTTAGAGGTAAATGACTGTTTGGACTATAAGTCCACAAAAACTTTTGAGTAAGCTACTAGATGAGGCCCTGATTTATTTTGGTTGGTATGTGCACATATTACCCAGAAAAATGAAAAATTTGTATCAAAAAACCTTTCAAAGTAGGTTGGGAGCGGGGGAGGGGGGTGAGAAGCATAGCTCAGTGGCAGAGTACTTGTGTAGCAGGCAAAAGGTCCTGGGTTTCATTCCCAGCACTGAAAAAAACCAAAGCAAACCCCCTCCCCCAAACCCACCCACTTCTTCATGTCATATATTGGGAGGCAAAAGCTATATAATATTTACAGATGGATTTTTTTAAAGATTCATAAGCTACTTCTCTAGAATGTTCCTTATGTTTCATTGGTTTTTCAGTTGATCCTAGAGTCATTTTGTTTCATCTACCTCGAAAAAAAGTTCTAATATTTCCTGGTTCTTTTAACAAATAACTTATCTGTTAAATAAGGTACGAGTGTGTTGTTGAGCCAATACCAAGCTCTAAAATTCAAAATAAGCCTTCTAATGTCTTTATTTAGATCATATGCTCTTAAATTATTTTGTTTTAATGTCACACTGGTAGAACTAAGTTCCCCAAATGCCCAAATCCTAAGATGTCCCTATTTCCAAAAGTAAAATAAAGACTGCTAATACCATGGAGCAAAATCTATCCTGAGCTTCCCCATTGAGCCCTGTAACATTTAGAAAGCAGGAAAAAAAAAAAAAAATGGGGATCAGTTAATATGGAAGTGTTTATCTTTTAAAAGTAGTTTCAAAAGACCAGGATGCTTGAATATGATATATTACTACTCAAGGGGGGAAAACCGTCAAAGCCCTCTGCTAAGTTGGCACCAATAATATTAAAGAAACCAAGATAAAAGAGTGTGATCCATATGCATTTATGACCTCTTAATAGCATGAAATATTTATAGTCCTCCATCTTTTAGCAAAGAAATCAGTAAAATTAACACAAGGATATTTTGGAAGGGCTTAAGATCATAGTCAGAATTAAAGAGAAAACTTTCAAAGCTAGAAAGCAAAACTTTCATTAGCTACTTGATTCTACCACATTTAAAACAGGCAGCTTGGACAATCACGATCCCAACAGGTGCTTAGTTTCAAAACTAACACCAACAATTCATCATGAAACACCTACACCTAATTAGCTGTTCTTCTCTGTTCTGTTCCTTTGTCTACCACATAAATGCTGGAGTTCAATGAAGACTACCCTTCGCAAGTGCTCCTGAAAGCCAAGAAGCAAGAAATGGAGTAACAAAGTAAGCCTGAGAAGTCCCAGGGCCCTAGAGCATTCTCTCTGGCTGGTCACAGGCATTCATGTTTCAATAACGAAGTCTTCAGGCTGTTCTGGAAAAAAAGAATCATATCTTCGCTGTTTGGTTACCCTGTGAAAGGTCACCAGACAGAAGCTATTTACCAGACAACAAGCCTAAAGCTCTTGGGTAATGACAAAAACAACAAAAAACCCTTAAATTTTCCTACTGAAACTTTTTATTGTTTATTTTTGTTGTTGAGGCTTAAGGAAATTAACTTTGCCCATAATTCATTCAGCCTGGACTTAGTGACACCAACTTATATTTGAGCCAATTAGGAATAAGACCAAACTACATTCTTAGGTCTATTTAGTTAATACATGGCACTTCACCAACGACTTTTCTCATATAACCTTTAACAAGAACTCATAAGTAGCATTGATTATCCCCCAAGAGATGAGAGATCGATGGTAATTCAAATGGGCACCTCTGAAAAGATTTGTCAATTTTCTGTCCCGTTCTAGCCAGATTGTTTTGAAAACCTTGGGGAAAGACTGAAATTCTCCACCAATCTGAGACTGTATGCGAGTTTTTACAACATTAACTGGAAAAAACAAGAATCCCAACATGGCACCCAGTAGACCTCCACAGATGAAGTCATTGACCAAATGAGCACTGTGAGTCGTTGCAGTAGGCAGGTGCTCCTTAATGGGACCTCGAAGACCAAAGAAAAGGACATTGCTGGATCCATTACGGAATAGAATGGGCACCAAACCTCGATAATACTCTCCAATTCCATGGCACTTCAGTGCTCTGAAAGCCTGATAAGTGTTTGTGAACTTGTCATGATGCTTGTGGTCTTGAAGCAATGTCTGAACTCTTTCCAATGGAGTGAAAATGGCTTCTGTTGTCCCTGCAAGTACTGCCGCCACGCCACGGGTTGCAAACTCTGGGGCACTGACGTGCTTTTGGAGAAGGGAAGACAAATCCTCGTACAGACCAAACATAAGTGCCAGGGTGGTGGTTTTCTGCATTAATGGCGGAAGGATTCCACGATACAAGTTTCTAAATCCATCCCTCCTCAACTGAAGCACTGCATCCCGGGTTTTGATTCCATAGAGCTGCTGCCGAAAAAGGATCTTCTGAATGGGAAATGTGATGGCTACATTGTTGAAAGCTGCGCAGCAGCCACACAGGTAATGCTTCATCTCACCAACATTTGTAATGTGAGGTGAGATGTCTTGTTTTGAAGATGTAAGGATTGGTGGTCTCTTTTCATGAGCTTCTGAATCCATCATGTTGCTTAAGGTCTCTCTTCTTCATGAAGGATTTTTTTTAACCTACAAATAAAAAATGATAATGGGTAAATTTTTTTTGTGGTGCTGGGGATGGAACCCAGAGCCTTGTGCATACCAGGCAAGTGCTCTACCACTGAATTATGCCTCTAGTCCAAGGGAAAACCTTTTCATGGAGAGACAAACACATGGAATTTCTCTTTAATCCCTCCTCCAATTTATGAACCATACGTTTTCCCTTTTAGACTAGGCAAGTAGTTCGTCACATAAATTTTTTTTCATTATCATGTTAATTTAGTATATATGAATGGAATTCAGTGTGATAATTCAGTGCACTATACTATATATCAGCAATTCTTTAAAGTATTTTCAGAAGACCCCTTGCCAAGTGCTATGGCACACGCCTATAATCCTAGCTAGTTGGGAGATAGGAAGACCCAGTTCAAGGTCAGCCTCAGCAACTTAGTGTGACCCTGTCTCAAATTAAAAAATAACTAGGGATGGAGGTATAGCTCAGTAGTAGAGCACCCATGGGTTCTATTCCCAGTATGTGGGAAAGGGGGAGGCTCTTTGGGATTCACAATAATAATTTTTAAGAGTGGAACCAGGTACTGCGGTTGTGGCTTAGTGGTAAAGCACTTGCCTAGCATGTGTAAGGCACTGGGTTCGATTCTCTTATGTAAATAAATAAATGAATCAAATTAAAGTCCACCAACATCTAAAAAAACATTAAAAAAAAAAAGAGGGGAGCCAGGCACAGTGGTGCACATGACTTGGGAGGCTGAGGAAGGCCAGCCTCAGCAACTTTGTGAGATACCATCTCAAAATAAAAAATTAAAAGGGCTGGGGATGTAGCTCAGTTCAATTTCTAGTACTAAATACAAACAAATAGATAAAAATAGTGTAAAGGATCCTGAGACCAAAATAGTTCAAGCACCACTGAACTACTTCCTAACTATTGGCTGTACTAAACAATGGTATATCTCCATTATTTTACTGAAATAAACTCAAAGTCTTCCCATGGTAGTTAATACAGCAAAATGTGCATGCATGCATTCTATTCATACTAAGGTACTAAATACAAGTTATTTAGTACCTTTGAACTTGGCCCTCTGGCAAGTATTAGAGATTCAAAGACAAGAAATTCACAAACTAAAAGAAGAACCTGCCAATGTAAACAATTACAACGCAGTGCAATATCTTCTATGATAAATATGTGCTGTTGGACACATGAGGTACGAATGCTGGGAGGTGGAGAGATGTGGAAAATGAGGTCACAGAAGGCCTGTAGGCTGTACTATATTTTTACATAATTTAATTTTCAAAACAACTCTATATTATTTTCTCAGTTTTACAAAACAAAATGAAACAAAATAAACCTCCCCCCCAAAACAAAAATCAACATTCTCCATTGTTCAAGGTATACCTAGTAACTGGTGGGGCCAGCATTTTGAAATGAAGTCTGACTCCAGGGCTCACATGCCTACTACCACACCACAGACTGCAATGACTGTGGGAGGCTGCCTTGGATAAGAGGCAGGTAGACCAGAGAGTGCAAGGATCTGAAGTCTAAACATATAGGCTTGCTTACTGAGTGGCACCAAGGCAAAGTCCTACCCCTGTAACACATCTGCTTTCATAAAATACAAGCAAGCTCTTTGCTTCCAGTCATCGAAATCTGATTTTTCCAGGCTGGGGATGTGGCTCAAGTGGTAGCGCGCTCGCCTGGCATGCGTGCGGCCCAGGTTCGATCCTCAGCACCACATACAAAGAAAGATGTTGTGTCCGCCGAAAACTAAGAAAAATAAATATTAAAAAAATTCTCTCTCTCTCTCTCTCTCTCTTAAAAAAAAAAAAAATTCTCTCACTCTCTTAAAAAAAAAATCTGACTTTTCCAAACAGAAAACAAAAACAAAAGATTCAAATTGGATTATCCAGAACAATTCCTACATTGCAAGTGTGGTCCTGGAAACTGTATTTAGGGATGACATGGTCATTTTATTATACTTTAGATATATCAGGCTAAATATTTTAAAATTGACTTTAATTCCTTAACAGTAAGTCAGCACACTTACTAAGACTATTAAATAAGTCAATTTAAAAATGAACAAAGGGGGCTGGGGATATAGCTCAGTTGGTACGGTGCTTGCCTTGCACAAACAAGGCCCAGGGTTAAATTCCCAGCACCACAAAAAACAAACAAAAAAGGACTTCAACAGACATTTCTCTGAAGATAATGTACAAAATGACCAATAAGCACATGAGAAGATGCTCAATGTCAGTGATCAGAGAAATGCAAATCAAGACCACAAGACAGTATCACCTCATACCTATGAAGGTGGCTACTACTGCAAAACCAAAGAACAACAATAGAAACACAGAAAGTAACAAGTGCTGACAGGGATGTGAAGCTGGAATGCTCAGACACCCTTAGTGGGACTGCAAAATGGTACAACTGCTATGGAAAACAGCATCCTGCACCTGGGTATCCAAAATAACAAAGCAGAGCCATAAAGACCATGCATATCCACATTTAGAGCAGCTCTACTTAAGAACCCAGAGGCAAGGACTGGGGTTGGGGCTCAGTGGTAGAGCACTTGCCTAGCACATGTGAGGCACTGGATTTGATCCTCAGCACCATATAAAAATAAATAAATAAAATAAAGTTATTGAAGTTCACCTAAAACTAAAAAATATTAAAAAAAAAAAAAAAAAAGAACCCAGAGGTGAAGGCATCCAAGCCACATACAAGGGCTTCCACGAGAAACAGAGTCAGATACCTCATCAAGATATCTGTCTTAGGACAAAAAACTACAAAGTGCCTTATGTTTTTCCCTCCAAATACTACACATGTGCCGCTGTGAACTGTGAAACATTCAGGACTAAAGGTACAGAGAAATGTGATCACGGTCAAGCAGAGTATGTAGCTGAAGCAGAGAAAAACCAGCAGCAGCTCTTGAAAGCTGACATCCACAGAAGCCACAGTCCACAACAAAGTCCACAACACACAACCACGATTTCCCTTCTAAGAATAAAGCTTAGGGAAATAATTACTTACATAAGATGTATGCAAAGATTCACCCCTAACATCATCACAACGCTTTCTTGTTGTTTTTGGAACTGGGGATTAACCCAGAGGCACTCTACCACTGGGCCACATCCCCAGAGATTTTTAAATTTTGAGACAGTGTCATGCTCAGTTACCCAGGCTGGTCTCAAACCTGTGATCCTCCTGCCTCAGTCTCCTGAGTGTCCGGGATTATAGGACTGTGCCACAGTATCAGGCATAACAGTGCTTTTAATAGCAAATTCTGAATAAAAATTAAATGCTCAACAGTAAGGGACCCACTGCATAAATGAAGATGTATCTACGGGTGTTGAGAGCCTTCTTAACGGGGATATTATATGATCATTAAAAAATCAAAGTATTTGGGGCTGGGATTGTGGCTCAGTGGTAGAGCACTCGTCTAGCACGCATGAGGCCCTGGGTTCAATCCTCAGCACCACATAAAAATAAATAAAATAAAGGTATTGTGTCCAATTACTTCTAAAAAATAAAAAATAACAAAAAAATCAAAGTATTTAATGCGAATCAAAACTACTCTAAGATTTCATCACTCCAGTGATGGATATGGGGAAAAGGTACACTCAATACATTGCTGGTGGCACTGCAAATTGGTCAACCATTATGGAAAGCAGTATGGAGATTCCTTAGAAAACTTGGAATGGAACCACCATTTGACCCAGCTATCCCACTCCTTGGTCTATACCCAAAGGACTTAAAATCAGCATACCACAGTGACACAGCCACATCAATGTTCATAGCAGCTCAATTCACAATAGCTAAACTGTGGAACCAACCTAGATGCTCTTCAACAGATTGATGGATAAAGAAACTGTGGTACATATACACAATGGAATATTACTCAGCATTAAAAGAGAATAAAATTATGGCATTTGCAGGTAAATGGATGGAGGTGGAGAATAACATGCTAAGCGAAGTAAGCCAATCCCAAAAAACCAAACAAGGAATGTTCTCTCTGATAAGTGGATGCTGACCCATCATGAGGGAGAGGGAGTGTGGGGGAGAATGGAGGAACTTTGCGCAAAGGGGAGGGAGAGGAAGGTAGGGGGCAAGGGGGTACGAAAGATGGTGGAATTAGATGAACATCATTACCCTAGGTACACATATGACTGCACATGTGGTGAGACTCTACATCATCTACAACTAGAGAAATGAAAAGTTGTGCTCCATTTGTGTACAATGAATTGAAATACACATGTATTATAAATTAGGACAAATTTTAAAAAATAAAAATAAATATAAATACATGAAAAAAAGCATTTAAGGTTCAGAATATTATTACATGTTTAATGTTGCTTATGAAATTTAAATAAGTCCTTTATTCAAGGAATAAACAATGTTACAGAAAAAAGCAAAATAAAATTTTTTATTGACATGTAACAGTACTAAAGCACAATCCTATGTATTTTTTTAAATATTTATTTTTTACAACTAATATTTAGTTATAATTGGACTCAATATCTTTATTTATTTATTTTTATATGGTGCTGAGGATCGAACCCAGGGCCTCACACGTACTAGGCGAGTGCTCTACCACTGAGCCACAACCCCAGCCCACAATCCTATTTTTAAATCAAAATTTACATACACAAAATGGCTAAAGTGAGTGGTTTATCTATATTTTCTAATTTCACAGTAATGCTATATTTTCCTGTTTTACATTTTTCAATGTAAATTAAATTTGCCTTGGTCTATTCAACTGTTTTCAAAAGTTAAAACAGTAACAATAATGGTCTAATGCTGGGGCTGGGGTTGGGGCTGAGAGGTAGCGCACTTGCCTGGCATGTATGAGGCACTGGGTTCGATTCTCAGTACCACATATGAATAAATAATAACAACAACAATAATAATGGTCTAATGAGGATAAGAAAAAGCCAACAGTGATAGACGTGAGAAAATTACAAAGTGGCCTAAGGCAAATTGTTTTACCCTTCTGAGCCTCAGTTTCCACATTTATAAATTAGAATACCATCCCCTCTGCAAGATTAGAGTGAAAATTAGATGAAGAGAATGCGTATCAGATGCCTCTTTCAGAGAGATTAAGATAAGCAAATAATTAGACTACAAGGTGACAAGAATCACAGAAACATGCACAAGGTATCCAAGGCCCACAGAGGGCTCTCAGCAGTCTGGTGGGTGGCAGGCAGGAGAGGGCCTCTGGCCTGGCTTTGAAAGCTGAGTAAGGCACATAATGGGAGAGCACATTCTGGCCAACAATGGCACAGGCTGAGGCACAGGTCCTGTGTCAAGGGATCAACAGTATCACATATTTGAAAAATTACTTATGTATGCTCTGCACAGCGTAGGTGGGAGGACAGGCAGCTGATGAGAAAGGAGAAGCAGGCTAGGACCTGTGTCATGGGAGACCCTCAGGAAAATCCCAAGACCATCCTCAATCACATGTGAAGCAAATGGAACATACCTTTCTTAGGTATGTTACACCAAGATCTGTGTGCCTTTTCCAAGACAGATTAAGAAAATGTAAACATCTGTACCATGTGTGGTCCAGAGCCTCTGTTTAGAGTTTGAGCAGGCTTGCTGAACACTTCTATTAGAAAAGATAAACTCGCCTTCAGTTAAAGAATTATGACTGAGTATCCCTGCACAACCCTCTAAGGTAATAAAAGCAGGAAACTTTTGTCCACTACATGTCACCAGGTTGTTCCTAGAGAACTGCAGAGTGACAGGGTTCAAACCTTTCACTAAACACTCTGATGACCAGGTGAGCTGTGGCTCTAAGCTCTAAAGTCCAAAAATTTTGTTCACTTGAACAAAATTTTTGTTTTGACAAGTTGCTTCACTGCAATTTGAACAGAAAAATTATTTCTAATTTTCGCCTGTACCAAATCAGTTAGATCATGAAGTCACTATGTTTAATACAGAGATGCCAGTTTCCTTGGAGTTGAGCTGCTTGTAGATCCAACAATAAAAAATGAACCATTTGAATAAAAATTCATAAAAGAAATGTGTTAAGTGATTAGAAAAAAGCTGTATATCAATTAAACTCACAGACACTCCCTCCTGGAGTGGGCTCACTGGCCCACTCATCTTTAGCAATCAAACCGACTGAGACCACTCTCACTCCACCTCTTATTTTTGGCCCTCTTCCAATCTAGCTATCATTTTAAAAATAAGCAAAAAGAACGTACTATTAAGCAAAAAAAAAAAAAAAAAAAAAAAAAGGAAAGCACACACATTGTGGGATTGAGGATCAGCAAAGGGGTGCCTGAGAGCTCTGCATGGCTGCACTCTATCAAAAGAATGCTCTGTACACCACTGATCCTCCTGTATAACCACTGTTTCTTGTTCTTCTTTGTTTTGGCCTTTAAACAATACGGCAATGGGCAACCTTGTACCTAAACCATGATGAATGCACTATTTTACATTTCAATTTTTTTGAATAAAATACGGCATTTTTCCTTTTTATTCACCATTTAAGTTTCTTAAGCTTTCGTTTATGGTGCCCATTCTCTTGCAAGCACTTCTCCCCCCTGATTTGTAAATGTCTTTGTCTATGAAGAAAATCAAACCTAGGTATATTAATAAAAGAATTGCAAATCCTTTTCTCTCTGTCTGTATCATTTTTGTGGTACTAACAAAATCCTTTGGACAGTAAATCTATCAAACTTGTCTTTTAGATTTTATGGCCTCGGTAGGCCTTCATTACTCCAAAAAATTATAAACAAGTAACCTAGGCTTTCTTCTACAGTTTCATTTATCAACTGCACTGATCTCTCTCCTAACTTTCAATGGAAGGAGTAAGGCAAAGATAACAAAGTGCAAAACACCATCAACCAAACTCTTTTTCTTAGTGGTTTGCATAATCTAAATACCCAGGATTTGCATTTATTTTTGAACTCCATTCTTCTCTACCGTGTTGGCCTACTCTTCATTCTCCAGCACTAATCTGTTTTAGCCAACTGTGATGTCCAAATGTATCTCTTTATTTCAAGACTCCCCCTCCACGCTTCAAAGAATCATCACTGCTTTCCTGGTTCTCTTACCTTTTCCAGGAGAACTTCAGTGTATTTCATCGTATTCCTCCCCAAAAATCTGTTAGTGTTTTATAGTGGAGGTGGCTGTAAAGTATAGATTTTAAAATGATCACCTTTTAAAAACTGCATCTTATTCCAGGTAAAGTGGCACATGCCTCTAATCCCAGCAACTTGGGATGCTGAGACAGGATGGCAAGTTTGAAGACAGCCTCAGCAACTTAGTGAGACCTATCTCAAAATTTAAAAAGGGCTGGGGATGTAACTCACTGATAAAGTGCCCTTGGGTTCACTTCCTCAATACCAACCCCTTCCCCAAAATAAAAATCTTTCTTACATCTTTTCACAAACCTTATAGCACTTAAATTATTCTCTTGACTATTTCTTACATATGGATACTGTTATCAATATGTTGCTTCCTTCTATTAATTTCCTTTCCTTTTCTGTGGGTACCAGGTATTAAATCCATGGGTAGTCTCTCTACCACTTACCTATAACTCTAGTCCTTTTCAATTTTTTTTTTTTGGGGGGGGGCCCAGGGGAAGGAGGAACTAGGGATTGCCCCTTTCTTCTTCTTCTTTTTTTTTAATCCTGAGACAGGGTCTCCCTAAATTGCTTAGGGCCTTGCTAAATTGCTGAGACTGGCCTCAAACCTTCAATCCTCCTGCCTCAGTCTCCCGAGTGGCTGGGATTACAGGCATGCACAACCACACCCAGTGTCCTTTTTAATTTTGAGACAGGGTGTCACTAACTTGCCCAGGCTGACCTCCAATGTGCAATCCTCCTGCCTTGGCCTCCCAAGTTTTGGGGATTACAAGTATGTGCCATAGCACTTGGCTCCTTGTATTAATTTTCTAATTTGTTTTTGCCTGTATATTAAAAAGTTACCAATTCTTGTGTATTAAGGTTAGAACAACCCACTTACTAAATCCTCTATTTCTCACCTTTTTATAGGTCTGTTTTAGTTTCCATAATATAAAAAATAAAATTGCAAATAATTTTTGACTTTTCTTTTGTAATACATATCTTTTTCCTAGACTGACAAATACTTCCTAAACAAAGTTATAAATATAGTGAACATCCTTTTATTTGCCTTGACATTTGTAAGAAGACTCAGAAATGAACAGTAAGCATGACACTGGCTTTTGGTTTGAGAAACAGGAAGTCTTGTTATCTATTATTCAAGTCCTGTAAATCACCATGACATGGGAAAAACAGTCACTGATAACTGACCCATATGAATTTATTCCTTCTCAAGCATCCCTGTTTATCATTTATCCATGCCCATCTTTAGGATTATGTTACAAACAAGAAGTGAAGGATGTCTTCTCAGTGCTATAATTTAACATCATCTGAAAGATTACGCTTAGAAAACCCAAAACCTGCCAGGCATAGTGGCATACACCTATAGTCCCAGCTTTTGAAGGGTGAGGCAGGAGGATCACAAGTTTACGGCCAGCCTCAGCAAAATAAAAAAGGCTCAAGATGGCCAGGCATAGTGGTGCATGCCTATAATCCCAGTGGCTCAGGAGGCTGAGGCAGGAGGATCATGAATTCAAAGGCAGACTCGGCAACTTAGGTAGGCCCTAAGTAACTTAGCAAGACCCTGTCTCTAAATAAAAAATGGCTGGGGATGCGGCTCGGTGGTAATGTAACCCTGGGGTCAATCCCAGTAAAGGTGGGGGCAGGCTACAAAATTTTATTCTAGGGGCTGGGGATGTGGCTCAAGCAGTAGCGCGCTCGCCTGGCATGCGTGCGGCCCGGGTTCGACCCTCAGCACCACATACAAACAAAGATGTTGTGTCCGCCGAAAACCAAAAAATAAATATTAAAATTCTCTCTCTCTCTCTCCCCCCCTCCCTCACTCTCTCTTAAAAAAAAAAAAAAAAAAAAAAGATTTTAGAAAAAAAAAATTTTATTCTATACTCAAAAAAATTAGTTTTTTTTTCTATATTAAAACATTATCAGGGGCTGGGGAATGCGGCTCAAGCGGTAACGTGCTCGCCTGTCATGTGCGGGGTGCTGGGTTTGATTCTCAGTACCACATAAAAATAAAATAAAGATGTTGTGTCCACCAAAAACTGAAAAATGAATGTTAAAAAATTCTCTCTCTTTAAAAAAAAATTATAAAAAAATCCCATATTAGTATAGAGGCAATTATAACTTAGGCCCCTATCTCTTTACTGTGAATTTTATTTGCCATTGAAAATGGATTCTGTTGTTTGTGGTGGCTCATGCCTATAATCCTAGTGACTCCCAGCCTGGACAATTATATTGAGACCCTGCCTCAAAATAAAAATTAAAATTGGGGGCTGGGGATTTGGCTCAAGTGGTAGCGTGCTCGCCTGGCATGCGTGCGGCCCAGGTTCGATCCTCAGCACCACATACAAACAAAGATGTTGTGTCCGCCAATAACTAAAAGAAATAAATATTAAAAAATTCTCTCTCTCCTCTCTCTTAAAAAAAATGAAATTCTATTAAAAAAAAAAAAATTAAAATTGGGCGTGTGTGTAGCTCAGTGGTAGAGCACCCAGGGGTCAATCCCTAGTACCACTAAAAAAGAAAAAAAGATTTCCATTTTTTCCGAGTTACTAATGATCAACTAACAATGATCTGATAAAGAGTATACTGGGCACACTTGTAATCCCAGCAACTCGGGAGACTGAGAAAGAAAGGTTTCAAGTTCAAGGCTAGCCTCAGCAACTTAGTAAGACCTGTCTCAAAATAAGAAATAAAAAGAACTGGGGATGCAGCTCAGTGGCAAAGTGCCCCTGGGTTCCATCCCCAGTACCAAAAAGAAAAAAAAGAAAAAGAAAGAAAAAAGAAAGTTTACAAATATGAGAAGAAAGTATATTTATTCCAGTTTTTACTACCACCCCCCTTTCCCACCATAATTAATAAGAAATCTACCTTGAACTTTAGTGAAATGCTTTTAGGTAGTTACTAAAATTATAAGATGCAGGACACAGAGCCATTATAACATATAAGAGCCTTTGGAATCTACTACTTGCCTGGGTTCAAATCCCAGCTCTATCATAATCTACTGAGCTGACAAGTGTTATTTATGACTTAACTTCCTTGTTTATAAGATAGGCAAGGTACCTAGCTAGCTCATGGGCTGGCTTAATTGAGTAAATACAGAGAAAGCACCCAGGAGTATAGTCTGAAGTATAGTAAGTACTCAGCAAGTATGAACTATTGCTACTGTTCTTTCCTGAAGTATTTATTTAATGTATGGATAGTCCTTGACTTATGATGGGATTATATCCTGATGAGCCCATTATAAACTGAAAATATCCTAAGTTGGAAACTCATTTATTCATTTACTTACTTATTTTTGGTGCCAGGGATTGAACTCAGGGCTTCCCTCAGGATAAGCACATTCTCTACCATTGAGCTACACCTCCAGCCCCCGAAAATGCATCTAATATGCCTAACCTACCAGTTCAAAAACACAAAGTACTGTTGGTTTACCCTTATGAATGCATGGCTGGCTGGGAGCTGTGGCTCACTGCTAATGCTTTGCAACTTAAAGTACAAAAAAAGGGCAAAATAGGGCTGACGTTGTGGCTCAGTGGTAGTGCGCTCGCTTAGCAAGCAAGAGGTCCTGGGTTCAGTGCTCAGCACCACATAAAAAAACAAAGATATTGTGTCCAAATACAACTAAAAAATGAATATTTTTAAAAAAAGGGCAAAATAATTATAAGTTGAACTGTTATAAGTCAGACTCTGTATATGTAATCACTCCTAGAAAATGGGAATGAATCCTACTTGGCCATGGCAAAAAAAAAAAATTAAATATATATATATTTATTTTTTAAACTGGGGATTGAAACCCAGGGGTACTTTACCACTAAGCTACATCCCTAGCCATTATTTTGAGACAGGGTCTCAAAAAGTTAGTGAGGGTCTCGCTAATTTGCTTGAATTTGTGATCCTCTTGCCTCAGCCTTCAGAATTGCTGGGATTACAGGCATATACTACCCTACCTGGCTTGGCAAAATACATTTTCAATGTTTTATTAAATAACATTTGATATTTTTTTTTTCTTTTTTTGGTGCTGAGGATCAAATTCAAGGCCTGTGCATGGTAATCAAGCACTCTACCACCAAGTTATACTCGTAGCCTACCATCTGCTAGTGTATTACTTTAAAATCACAATACTATTCACAACAGATCAAGCCTTCAATTTTACAGCTATCATCACATCAAGTTCCAGCATCAGTGTTCTACTGGCTTTTTAAAAAGAACCTGAGATTTTTCCTTCTTCATCCTGTGGAACAATTTAAATCTTATCAAAACTATCTTGTCCCTAGGAAGTTTGAAAAAATTACCTGTGACACCAGATGAGCCTCATGGTGTGAGGGATGCTAGCTTTTTGGCAACTTTCCCAATTTCTTCCATTGTTACTGGTTTATCAGGTTCGTTCTTCTGGAGTCAATGTTGATAACTGGATTCCCTTTAAATAAGTAAAGTAAAAAATAAAAATAAACTCTGGTTTGATTTCTGTAGTCTTATTAAGCACTGGCTATTTTTTAAAAAATATTTCTAACCATGTGTATTTTTATTTCCTTTTCATTGAGAACAATCAGTTTATCTGATATGTACCTCTCCTACCCCCAGCAAAGAACCAGCTCTTCAATAATCAATTTTATTACTTTTCAGAGTTTTTAAAAAATATTTTTAGTTGTAAATGAACACATGTGGTACGGAGGATAAAACCCAGTGCCTCACACATGCGAGGCAAGTGCTCTACCACTGAACCACAACCCCACCCTTATTTTTCAGTTTTTAAATTTGCTTTTCCTTTTCCTTACTTCCTTCACATGCTTTGTCTGGGTTTTCTTCTAATTTCTAAGATTAGACGGTTATTCTAATTTATCCTGCATTTCATAATTTAAGTAGTTTTTAGAAAAAAAATTTATAAACAGAATACCTTTAATTTATGTGTTTATTTTTATGTGGTGCTAAGATCAAGCTCAGGGCCTCATACATGCTAGGCAAGTGCTCTACCACCGTGCCATAACTCTAGCCCCAATTTGAGTGTTTAATAAGACTATGCATTTTCTTTTGAGCAAAAAGCTCTACTTCTTTTTAAGATACTCTGCATTTTATTCTAGTTGTTTCTATGTGTTCTAAAATCTTGTTTGCTCATTTAGTGTTGTTATATGCAAAAAAAAAAAAATGATATTAAAAAAGAATAGTGGTGGGTGGCACACGCCTCTAATCCCAGCTGCCTTGGAAGCTGAAACAGGAGGATTTCAAGTTCAAAGCCAGCCTAGGCAATTCAGCAAGGCCCTATGCAACTTAGACCCTGTCTCTAAATAAAATACAAAAAAAGGGCTGGGGAATGTGGCTCAGTGGTAAAGGTACCAGAATATCATCTAACCTCTTTGTTAATGCAGCAAGGTTTTGTGACTTAATATGACCAAATTTAAGAAAATGTTCTATAGATGAGAAGTATGCCAGGGTACTGAGTTTGACAATAATTAACCACTTTGTCTACAACAGCCTTACTTTTTCACTGTTTCAGCTGACAGGCATGAGTTAAACTATTTTTTTTTTTTTGGGGTATCAGGGATTGAACCCACGGTGCTATACTACTGAGCCCCTTTTTATATTTTATTCTCAGACAGTGCCTTGCTGAGTTGGTTACAGCCTTGCTAAGTTGCTGAGGCTGGCCTTGAACTTGATATATTCCTGCCTCAGCCTTCGTTAAAAACTCTTACTAGTGGGCTGGAGTAGTGGCTCAGTGGTAGAGTGCTTGCCTAGCATGTGTGAGGCCCTGGGTTCGATCCTCAGCACCACATAAAAATAAATAAATAAAACAAAGGTATTGTGTCCAACTACAACATATATATATTTGTTTTGTTATATATCAAAACAAAAACAAAAAACTCATACTAGTACTATACTTACCAATTTAAGATTAACCAATATTTAAAAAACTGAAATTTAGTATAGAAATGAAGAACAGCAAAGAAATTTGCTATTCTTTAGGGTTCACAATTAAAGTTAAAATCAACAAAAATATTCAATGTACAAGATTAATCAATATTTTAACAACTTACGAATGTTAAAAACACTTCATTTTGACATACTGAATACATAACTTTCTCACATGTGCACGCACACTCTCTCCATTTTGTATGTGTTGCTGGGGATCAAATCCAAGGCCTTGTGCATGCCAGGAAAACACACTCCCATGGAACTACATCCCCAGGCCCAATATACTTTGAATTCTAAAGTCATCACCTAGAAGCTATTTTGTACATGTTTCTGGATGATACAAACCAAGTTATCTGTGTGCTTCAACAATAAGAATTTTGTCCACATTTATTTTTCATTTTTACTGGAATGGTACTTGTGTTACTTCACAAAATTTTGCAAATTAAAGTTACTCCATCCAGTTTGTCATGACTCTAATAATGGGGACTTGTTACTAAACAAACAAAACTATGGCTAAGAGAAGCTAGCCAGTCATTTACTGACCACTATATCAAATAAATTTTAAGGCCATTACCATAGATTTAAATTCTCATATTTGAAAAAAAAAAAATGGCTTAAGGCTCTGGAGGATGAGGCAGGAAGATCACAAGTTCAAAGCCAGACTTATCAACTTGCAAGACTGTCTGAAAAAATGAAAAGGGCTGGCGATGTAAGTCAGTGGTTAAGCGCCCCTGAGTTTAATCCCCGATACCAAAATAAAATAAAATAAAAGCAAATAAATAAAAACTAGGCCTAGATGGAAAGAGGAATGTTATGAAAACCTCTGGGACTTCACAGATTTAAAGCTTTTCCTCCACTCAGTGTGGTGGCATATGCCTGTTATTCCAGCTACATGGGGAGCTGAGGCAAGAGGACCCAGAGGACAAGTTTGAGGGTAGTCTGGGTAATTTAGTAGTCCCTGTCTCAAAATTAAAATTTCATGAAAAAGGGTTGGGGATGTAGCTCAGTAGTGGTGCCTTCCTGGGTTCATCAGCATGGCTGGAGAGCTTTTTCTCTCTTTTCATCCTAACACCAGGATGGCTTGAATAGGTTCTTAATTTAGCAACAGAAAGAGTGTGCACAGTATTCTGTAGCAACAGAGTTTAGAACTTAGCATGCATACTATGTTGCGAACACAGTTTAATTTCTTTGCTAGGTTGATCTGTGTTTAAATTCCTTAACATGGATAGTAATCCTTTGCAATTTATTGCAAAATTTATTTACCATAACTTTACCATTGTTCATTACCTGAACCGCTCAACCTATCTTAACATAAAGAAGCAAAGTTAATGAACGTGACTTTCAACTGCCAAGGTTAAACTTCTGTGGCTAAAGAAACAGTGTAAAGTTTAGCCACTGTAATTTACAGTTCACGTGGATACAAATGACCCAGAAGTGATTCCAGTATAAAGGTCTATGTGCAAAAAGACACCCTGGGCAGAGGGTGACTATAATTCTCCAAGGATGTGAATTCCCACTAGTCAGCAGGTCTGAGACAGCATTCAGAACAAGGTCAGATTGGGTTCTAGTCCTAATTATGACAGTGTTTTGCCACTATATGTACAAAACAATGTTTATGACTTTAAAATCCACTGATCTGAGTTTACTTTCACCTAGCAAATGAGAGACCAGACGTGTCAAGGTAAAGAGCATGTTATTTTCCAGGTAAACAGCATATTATTTTCCCCTGAGATGCCCTAAGGATGACTCCAGGTCCAAAGCCTCTAACCTGTGACATGGAACCACTATGGGACATGAAGTGTCTAGCACATCTGATTCCGTGTAATCCTTACAATGCAAAGGCGCAGGAAGCTCCAAATGGCAAGGTCACTATTCACGTATTTTAAGGGCTTTTGTTTCACAGATTGCAGGTAGAGAAACAGAAGGTGGAACTAAGACCAACTGGGTAGAACTGTAAGGCATAAAATAAAGGTTATGCCAAAGGGGTAAAAGAGCGAGCCTCTGACATGCTTCAGCTAGCCAAACTTAACAGTAAATAATCAGTAGAGAGACTAACAATTAACACACCCATCCCAAAAAGCCTTGGTAAACTGTTTTCGTACAACGCGATGCAATATGGTGTCTAAGAAAAAGCATTCTCCAGGCGTCCATTTCCCCAATCTCTTAATAGGGGGGAGCGGGCAAGCAAGATCACCAGGATCTCCTCGGTCTCTGGAACTCCAGAGTCTGGGGTCCGGTGGTGAGAATGCCGGAATCCCTGCCTCCAGAGGCGGTGGGTGGATGCCCTTCCGCCGGTGCCCGCTCTGGCCACCCCGGGCGCCGGCGATGCACGGCCCCTCCCCGCCCAGCGGTTCCCAAGTCCCGGAGAGGAACCTCCTCAGCCTGAGAGCGCCCAAGAGAACGAACGCGCCGAGTCTTCGCGCGGATGGTCGCTACGCTGCCCCGGCGCCCGCAGAGGTCCAGGAGGGCCGGAGAGCCAGGGACCAAGAGAGCTCGGATCCGGGCCCGTAGCGCAGGGCTTGGGAAGTCCGCGAGGGAGACGCAGTGCGCGCGCGCAAAGCAAGGCCAAATCCCCACGGTGGCGGCCGCCTCCTCGATCCTTTTTCATGTTGTTCCTCCTTCTGTTCAGATGCCGAGCGTAGCCCAGGGTTCCCCATCACATTCCCGTACTTACCATGGCTGCGGGGGCCGGGCCCCACGCCCCGAGCCACGGGCCACGGGCCCGCAGGACCGCGGAGAGCGGGCGAGCGAGCCCGCGAGCCAGCGCCCGCGCAGGCGCAGACCTCGACCGATCTGTGGGGCGGGGCGAGGCGGGGAGCGCTGCGCGCCGTTCCGATCACGTGAGAGGGACACCGCCTCTCCCTAAGCCCGCGCGTTGCTGTGGGACGCCGGTGTATTTCTCCGGCTACGGTCCGCGCTGTTTGAGGGGCTCGTCGTCTCACCTATAGTTAAACTGTGAAGCTCCGCTAGCCAGGGTGTCTTGCCTTGGTGCTGTACGGTGGCCTCACTGTGCCAGAAACAACAACGCGTTCCCTAGTGTGCGGGAGGAGCCTGGTGATCCTTCATTGGGGGTGGCAAGCGCGTGCGCGGAAGGCCCGACAGTGCCCTTCTGGGCGGCTAGCGCTTTGTATCCTTGGTTAGATGTGCTCAAACCTTCGGGTGCATTTTGTCAGCTACTCCATACCGCAGTTCACAAAACACCGTTGTTTTTGTTGTTGTTGTTGTTGTTAAATGTACTTTAGGATATGCAAGTCACTATTAAACCCTTTTTCCTTTGACCCTCACACAACTTGTGGGGTCTTGGAGTTAGATGTCCTGGGTCAGAGTGGTATCCCTGGCCCTTCCTAGGAGTGACCTTGGTCAAGTCACTGGTACCTGAACCCAAATCCTTGTCGGAAAAGTAACCCTTGCCTGAACGCGTCCCTTGGCCGTCATAAATGATTCTTACTGGAAATAATGCTCTAATTCATAAGCTGGAAAGCACACCACAGATATGAGAAGTTATAGGACACAAGTCAGCTTGAAGAGAGAGAGCACCAAGCAGCTTATCAAATGTGTGAAGAGCATGCACTGTACTTGGGGCACACCTGGGAATGGTAGCAGGCACTATGGGCGTGCAGAAGAGGACCAGGACCTCAAGGTGACCACACGATTGGCCCTTCTTCATGCTTCCCCTCCTTCCAGCCTGAGGCTGGAGATCTCACTGTCAAAGTGAAGCATTGATGGTGGGATCAGCTCTAGGTGAGGGACCATCCCTACCCTGTGTTTATCTGCTTCTTAATTACAGGAGGCAATGCTCCCCACTTCGACACTCTGGGAGGTGCCTGTTGTGTGCCAGGTCCTCCCAAGGGAACCGAGCATCTCACAAAAGACATAGAAACAGAAGACTGCAAATTTAGAAGCATGAGGGGCTTTTCCCTTTGAGAGGTTAACAGTGATGGCTTCCTAGGGTAGGAGGGGTTTGAACTGGGCTTTAGAGGATGAGTGGTCAGAATTTGGACCTGTGGAGAAGGTCAGAGCAGAAGATAAGGATATTCAAGGTCAGGGGGTAGGCAGTGTGAATCTTGACTGCCAGTTAAGGTCTCTGGCATCTCCTTAGTGTGGTAAGGGATAAATTTTTGACTCCACAGAATATAGACAAGGCTACACCATAGTTTAAAACAATTAATCAGACAACCATTGGGGAAAGGGCATTTACCTCAAAATTATGTTGGCCCCTGGCTTGTGTGAGTTCCTATTCAGATGTATTATTCAAAAAATACATAAGGCAGGCAGGCATCCAGTATGTTCAGAATATGGCATAAATAATTAATTTCATTAGAATGGAGAGGTTATTCTCCTGTGGAAAAAAAACATAAAGAGAAGGGAAAGATGAAAATTAAACATACAATTGGGGCATAACCAACTCAAGAGAGTGAGAAAAATCCCAGGTTCCCCAGGAACACTGGAGTCTGGATCTGAGCCAGTCCAGGCCACAGCATAGGCCTCGCCCCTCCAGCCTCTGCTTCCTAGTCATAAATCTCCAGGCCCTTAATTGGCTGTTCTTGGGCAGTCAAATGTTGGAAATAAAAACCCTCTATTTTTTTTTTAAATTCACAATTCATCATAAAGTGAACTTTCACACATCATCCAGTCCCTTGAACTGTTCTGCACACCTCCCTCTCAGCCATCAGATAGCCCCCTCTCGCCCTCCTGTTACCATGTCGCTCAGCGTCAAAACCTCCCTCGGTTCCCTCTTGGCTTTCCAGTCAGTCCAGACCCCTTAACTGGCCTCACAGGGCTTTCCCTGTCCTGGCTCTGACACCTCCCTGTCCGCTTTATCCCAAACTACCTTTTATGCTTCAGACCAGGGCAGTCTTTCATGTTTTGCAAATCCTTGAGCTCCTGAAGCCTATTTCTCCCGGTGACCATCAGATCCTTACCAAACATAGGAGTCCTTCAAGGTCTTCTTGCCTCCTCTTCCTAGAAGTCTTCCCTACTTGCCCCAGGCAGAATAGACTGCTCTTGCCTCTCCCTTTTCGTAGCATGATTTTTGGGGTCTTTTCTATCCTCCTACCCTCTGTTATAGTCACTCCTAAGTGTGTCTCTCTCTCACTGCCAGTTCACGAGGGCAGAGCTGTCTGACTCTTGGTCCTTCAACTCAGGGCTTGGGAAAAATAGTGCTTAGGACAAGTTTGCCAAAATGAAATGCTGGTGAAGAGCAGAGCTGTTAAAAGGGGTATCGCTTAATGGTAGAGCACTTGCCTAGCACGCTTTGGGCTCTGTGTGCCATCCCCAGGACCAAAGAGTAAAAAGGGAGGGTCTGTCCTTGGGAAAAGAGGGACATGGGAATATTGCTGATGGATTTTTGCTTAAGCACCCCACAAAAAAGCTTCCTGGAAAATTGTCTAGTGCTCTGAGTTTCATTGTCCCTCGTGTCCCCAACAACCGCTTTGTCAGTGGAGTCTCACTACTATGCACGGCTCTGCCCAGAGAAGGTTGCCTGCGGTCATCCCCTAACAAGGGGTCAGTGACCTTCCTTTCTCACATTTCCCAGGCCTCTGCAATCCACTGGGCCTATCTCGGCCACTCCCCTTCCCGCCCTCTAGGCTTCATCCCCAGGGCTACCACTGCAGGTTCCCTTCCCCCAACGCTGCATTCTTTTGCACACCCAGAGCTGCGCAGGTTTTGTCCTCTGTGCGTAGAAGACAACGTTCTGTTCATTGCTCAGGTCAAACAGGCTCCTCAGTACTGCTGACTCTGGTCTGACCTCATGGCCTCCCATCACCCTCCTGGCACCTCCCTCCTCCCCGCCCTGCTGGAAGCTCTGGCCCAACCCTGTGTCCTTGATCTGTGCAGAACATTTGTCCCCATGACTGGTCCATGAACTCCAAGACCTACTCTCTTTCTTCTTGGCTCATTTTCAATTTTTTTTTCTTTTTCCCCTTGGTGGGGATCTAACCCAAGGCCTCACGCGTGCTAGGCAAAAGCTCTATCTCTGAGCTACACCCGAAGTCCTTTGGCTCATTTTCAAACCTGCTTTAATCTAGCAGCTCACATGCATTTGTGTTTATGACACACATAATCAAGACCAAGGTTAATTGAGGCATGCCTGTGAGGTCTATTTATTTTTTGGGGTACGGAGGATTGAAGTCAGGGGTACTCAGCCACTGAGTTACATCCCCAGCCCTATTTTTTTTTTTTTGTATTTTATTTAGAGACAGAGTCTCCCTGAGTTGCTTAGGGTCTTGCTAAGTTGCTGAGGCTGGTTTTGAACTCGTGATCCTCCTGCCTCAGCATCCTGAGCTGCTGGTCATTCATTAATTTTAATGCAGGTGGGGGCTCTGCGAAATCAGTGATCCTTAATGCTGTTGCGCATTAGAATAGGAATCCTTAGAATCAGAGTCTAATGAGTGCAATTAGAACCATTAAAATCGTCTTCAGGGCTGGGGATGTGGCTCAAGCCTGGCATGCGTGGGGCCCAGGTTCGATCCTCAGCACCACACACAAAGATGTTGTGTCCGCTGAAAACTAAAAAATAATTATTAAAAAATTCTCTCTCTCTCTCTCTCTCCCTCCCTCCCTCCCTCCCTCCCTCCCTCCTCTCTCTCTTAAAAAAAAAAAAAAAAAGAATCACCTTTAAAGCCAACAAAGGCTGAGGCTGCAGCTCAGTGGTAGAGCCCATGCTTGACTTGCTGGAGGCCCTGGGCTCCATCTTCAGCTCTGCAGCAAAAGCCCACCTTCCCCAGAGAGTCCTATTTAACTGGTTTGCAGTGGAATCTGGACCTTAGTAGGTTTAAAAGTTCCCTGAGGTGCTGAGGTTGAGATTAACAGCACCTAAGTCTTGCTTCTCCATTGTGCCTGAAGATGAGAATCACTTAAACTTGACCATGGACCTGTGGCATCATCATCACCCGAGAGCTCGTGAGCAATGTGGATGCTGGCCTGAGTGAGCCAGGATTGGCACTGAACAGGCTCACAGGTGGTTCCTGTGATTGGAAAGATTGCTATTGTAAGTCCTAGAAATTTGGTTGAAAATAGGTCCCAAGTCCCACGAATTTCTAGGGGAGAGCCCCAC